TTTGCCGATGATACAAGTGTAATAGTAAATGAATTAAATTTTATGCAGCTGGAAAAAAAACTTACTACAGTGTTTAGATCGATGAATGAATGGTTTAATTCAAATATGCTTTCATTAAATTTAGGCAAGACTTGCTGTGTAAATTTCTCAGCTAAACATAATTTTACCAAAAAATTAAATATTGAATATGGAAACAAAATTCTATTAGAGTCAAATGAGGTAAAATTCTTGGGTATGACACTGGATAACACAATATCTTGGAAAGGGCATATAGATTCAATTATAGGTAAATTAAATAAAGCCTGTTATATAATTAGGAAAACCAAACAGTATTTAAATATTGATGCCCTTAAAATGGTGTATTACGCCTTTTTCCACTCAGTGATGTCTTACGGTTTGATTTTTTGGGGAAATAGAACTCTCAGTATGTGCGTTTTTAAATTGCAGAAGAGAGCTGTTCGAATAATGGTGGGAGCTGGAAACAGAGATTCATGTAAAAAAATCTTTAGACAATTGAAAATATTACCACTGCCCTCTCAATATATATATTCTTTGATGATGTTTGTAGTTAATAATATGGATTTATTTGTAGAAAATTCAGATATATATACAACTGCAACAAGAAATAGTTCAAATTTGCATCTCCCCTCATCAAATCTAACAGCATTTCAGAAAGGTCCACAGTATTTTGGAATCAAAATTTATAATAGTCTTCCACGCAAAATAAAACAGTTATCCAAAAACAAAAATCGATTCAAGAAAGAACTATTACAATTTCTCCATTTACATTCATTTTATGGTATTGATGAAATTTTTGATTACACGGTTAAGAAGATTGATAATTGATTTTATTGGGATTAAATACTTAATTGGTGAAAAGTTAAATTACAAGTTTTATAATTTTAAAATTGTGTTTGCATAAATATTTTAACATGTATTATATTTTTTGTAATTATTATATTTAATTGTTATATTGGACTATTGTCTATATCCTGAGTCTTACGACCTTGTAAAGGATTTTTGACATGTAAATAAATGAAATGAAATGAAATGAAAAGCCTGGGCTACAGACCACACAGTGGCGGCAGACCGGGGCCATCTACTCCCACCCCACTCAGGCCTCATTTTGACCCCCTGGGTGACTCTCGGGTGATATGCGGAAACATACCCTCGCGAAAGTTGTGAAGAGTGAACATTTCAAGGGGAAGCAGACTTCTAGGTAATGCCGTGTTTGTGCAGTTCACAAGAAAAGGAGTAGGACTGCCTACATTTGCAAGTTTTGTGTAATGCCACTTCACAGAGGGGAATGTTTCGAGAAATATCACACCCCCAAGCACTTCTAGAAGCATTGGTAAGTGTTCTCAAAAAATTTTAATTCATAAAATTAATTAGGAGACTTTATATTAATTTTAAAGTGAACAGTGCACAAGTTAGGGTAGTAGGTATAAAAATGCCGGTTTGCAAAGTGATAAGAGATGAGTGAGGGCAAAATTAGACACCAGTTTTGGTCACTCACAAAGTTCCCAACTCTGCTTCTAGATGTCACTGTGGTCACGCAGCTGTGGAGGCATCTGGCAGACAAAGCAAAGGTATAAAGGTAAAACTATCCCTGTAACAGGCCGTGGAGGCCCGTAAGGTTGTGAGACATTGAGGCTTCCACATTTACTAGACAGTCTGCTCACAGATGGAAGACTGGAAACAACTTGAATTCACTTAACACAGCAGAAGTAACACTGGACAATTGGATAACATAACTGGCCCAAGTGGTGTCCTAATAGAAAATGAGTTACAAATATTCCAGTGATTTGAGGTTAAAAGCACACATGACTTAGTCGTTGAAGTGCAGCAATAGAAACCAACCAGCTGACATTATCAGATCCAAAAGCTTACAAATACTCTTGGGCATGCAGAAAAACTGCATCAGCTGTGGAAGGAGTCTTTTGTTATACCTGGATGTAAACTGTATTTTACCTGATCTTTTGTATGGGTGTAAAACTCCATCTCTCATATTGAGAGAAGAAAGAGAGACTGAGGGGACAAGTTTTGATATATTCACAGCTGTGGTCATGGAGTCCATGCTTTTCTGGGTTGTGACCTCATGTAGTCTTGTAGGTTTATGCCAATGTTCTGGGTCATGTAGGCGAGTTTTAAGGAAGTTGGTGATTCAGAACCTGGTCTTGGCCAGTAGGAATGGTGAACAGGTAGTGCAAAGAAAAATGCCCTTTTCAGGTCCACAATAAATATCATCACAGGAAGGAAATAAAATTATTAGAAAAGATTTCACACCCCTTCCATGAATGTGAATGACCACTTCCTTGCAACCCGTCTGTAACTTAACCACACTCACTTTTACCATGAAAATGGTAACATGGCATGTGTCTGAATTGTTTCTATCCTGCAAGACTACACGGAGGAACTTAATCCAAATGCTCACCACTTCTGAAACCTGAAAGCTTGTATTTGCTCCATATAACTCGTTTAGTTAGTTCATTCTGCCCAGAAGCTGCCCTCATACTACATTCCCCTGATTCTGCTGTGTCAGATCCAGTACACAAGGATTCTTCTTGCAGACGATTTGACCCACAGCAAATTGAGGATTACAATTGGGTAAAGTCAAGAAGTCAAGAGAGTTACGTGAGAAACTACTACATTGTCTTCCCTAATGACGAACGTTTGGCTGGAAGGAATTTTCAGAAGGGACCATTCCATCAGGTATGTTTATACTTTCATTACACGTTTTTAATCTTTTTCTATTTTTTATTGAAACCATCATAAATTGAAGTTTCCATGGTAACCATATATTTAGAGTTTGCAAGGTGTCTAGAAATGTCTGTGGTCACCGTCAGGGTAGGTGGGGCAAACCATGCATCTGTATATTCCCCCCCCACCCAACTCAGATATTTGAGGGGGCTGCAAATATATAAATTGAAAAGAAGTAAGGAAGTTTTCTGAGCATTAAAACCGAAGATGTGATTGTTCTCCCCTGAATGTTCAGAAGTGTTTTAGCACCATCTTCAACAAAGTCAGTAGAGTCCCTGAACACCCCTCCCAAGAAGAAAACCAGTGTTCCTGGAAATACATCAGAATGGAACATAATCTTCTACAACATACTGCCATGGGTTGGCATTGTAAACATTTTGTATGAGGTAGGGCAGAAGCCCTAGCGGAGCTCATTATTGGTTTCCATCCAGTTACTTCTGTGTCAGTGTGGTATTTGTAATTATATAAGATGGGTCTCTTGTCACCACAGCATGGCTCAGTCTCATTCTGTAGATGGGAAGACTGCCTGCAGGTATGGGGGTAAAGGTAAAGCTGTCCCTATGATCAGTTAATTAAACACCACACCATGCAGATGTGTGGTAGAGTGGAGGTGTAGCTCCATCATTCTTGGCACTAGATGGAGATGAATAGTCAGCTTTGCCTGTGGGAAAAGAACCCCCCAGTACCCATTGGATTTGAGGCTGGGTGGGCCCCCCAGTCTGGACGCTGTGGAACATATTACCCCTACTGGAAGTCAAACCTTCTCCATCTGGTCCACAGCCATCCCAGAAGTGGAGGGTAGCTGCATAAGCAGTAGCAGACAGCCAATGTGGGGTGGTCCTTCAGTTTGCAGACTGGGCAGAAACTAAGTACTCCTCATCATAAAATTTCAGAATATTACTGAGGGCCTAAGCAGTGGACAGTTTGTTCTGAGTAATTTGTAATCAATAGAAAGTGGACTTCATATTTGGAACTTGAAATTTGCAAACCTCTGTGGGGCTGGTTTGTCAATAACAGCTGCAAGGGAATTAGCAGAGTATGAGTTAGATACAGTGGGAGTGCAGATCAGGAGGGACAGGGGCGGCACTGAACCGGCAGGCAATTCATTATACATTTGTCTACAGAAACAGGAATAAAAATCATCACTTAGAGCAGGGGTCAGCAAAGATTTTTCGTAAAGGGCCAAATATAAAATACATTACACTCTGAGGGCCAAGAGGCAAACTCAAGGATCTTTAAAGGTCGGTACAGTTAAAATAACAGGTTAAAAAACAAGTTTTCACAAATTTACTGGTGAAAATGTAACATAATAAAAATACAAAAGGAACTACAATCATTGTTTGAAACACAGCTTTAGGCTACTAATGGGATGAATGAAATTTTTTTTTTTGAGATAACATTTCTTCAAATTGGGGCTCAAAGTTAGTACTCCCTATCATCATAATTGATTGCAAATGTTCGTCTGTTAATGCTGACCTGTATTGAGATTTTACATATTTCATCTTTGAAAATGTCTTTTCAAATAGGTAGGTACTACCAAATACAGAGATCAAACCTCGAGCATATGATCTTAATTCACCATATTCATCACTTGGAAGACACTTATAGAATTCTGTTAGATTGTTCTCTTGGAATTTGCCTTTTAGCATGTTATCACACTGCAGATTAATCACTTCCAATTGAAGGTTAGGTGGAAGTTCCTCAATTGTACAGTTAAATGGATTTTCAAATCTGGAAATGTCTTCTGCACTTGCATCAAGATCCGAAAAACGTTGCTGGAGCTGTTTTTTGAGCTCAGAAAATATATCACATGCAAATTCATGCGGGAATGGGGAATCCACTTCTTGTTTTAATGTTTGACAGCATGGGAAATGCACGAAACAGCTTGACATGATTTGTGACTCAATCAAAGCCAGTTGTCGTCGAAATGATTTTACCGCAGTATAAGTTTCACATATTAGCACTGTTTTAGCTTCAAGTTGAATCCATTAAGAAATCCCATGATATCAGCAGCAAAAGCTAATTTCCAAAGCCATTCAGTGTTCGATAATAGTGGTTGAGGGCGTTTTTTCTCATTGAGAAAAATTTCAATCTCTGCTCTGAGTTCAAAAAATCTTAATAAAACTTTACCACTGCTGAGCCATCGAACTGCTGTGTGGTAGGGTAAGTCAGGATATTCGGCTTCCACTTCTGACAGAAAATCACGGAACTGACGATGGTTCAGCCCACGAGAACGAATGAAGTTCACCGTTGACACAACTGGTTCTAAAACACACGACAGATTAAGATATTTGCCACAAAGTATATGCTGGTGAATGATACAATGAATAACCATAGGCCTTGTACACCTTGCATTTTCACAAGCTGTGTAAATGCTTCCAACTAAGCCTTTACCTGTTCCAGACATATTTTTACCACCATCAGTTGTCACACATTTTAGCTGATTCCACTTCAGATTGTACTTCGTTAACATTTCCTCAACTTCCTTGAAAATGTCTTCACCTGTAGTTGTTCCACGCAGACTATTCATAGAAGTTAATTCTTCAGTCACTTCAAAGTCAGCATTGACTCCTCGAATAAACAGCAGCAATTGAGCAGTATCTGTAATGTCTGTCGACTCATCAAGAGCTAAGGAAAACCACTCAATCATTTGCCTTGTTAATTAATTGGTTAGTGATGTTGTTACCAATGTCCTCAACTCTTCTGGCAACTGTTCTCGTGGAAAGGCTGATATTATTAAATAAATCCATTTTCTCTGGACACATTTCTTCAACTGCTACAATCAAACATGATTTAATTAACTCACCATCAGTAAAGGGTTTTCCTTCCTTGGCTAACAAATGAGCTACTCCTAGACTTACTTTTTACTTGCAGCCTTATTTTCATTTTTCATTTTCGTGAAGAAACTGCGTTGTAATGAAATACTCCATTTCAAAGTTTCTAATTTTTTTGATCGTTCCTTCCCTGTGAGTTGGGAATACTGTGCCGAATGCTTAGTCTGGTAATGCCAACATATATTGTACTCTTTTAGTACAGTTATAGTATCACTGCACAATAAACACAATGCTTTGCCATCTAATTCAGTAACAAAATAATTCTCACTCCACTCTGCCTTAAAAGCACGACATTCCAAGTCCACTTTTCTGTTCTTTTGTGGTTTCGACAGCGACATGATGGATATCCACTGGTATTAAAACAACACAGAACAGCGATACACGTGGCATTCGTAACACTGGGTGTCATCACAGCTGGGGCCACGAAGGAACGTGCGAATGGGAAGCTATAGGAGCGCCACACACGGCAATTCTCGCAACTCCTCAACTCAAGGTCAGCCGTTGGAGTGCGTAATCATCCATAGACAATATGTTCGAAAAAACATAGGTTTCTTCCTATAAATAAAGCTTCATAGACGCAGAAATGTTAAACTCATATTATAATAATTATCTTGTTTCATGAAATATTATCCCACTTTGACATTTTTAAGAGTTTGGAAATGTAAAATCTATTCTTAGCGTGCGGGCCACAGAAAAAGCGACGGCGGGCTGGAGTTGGTCCACGGGCCGTAGTTTGCCGACCCCTGACTTAGAGAGACAGTTTCCTCCATGGAGTTGGTTGGTCAGCCTGGTTCAGGTTGGGTTGCACTGTTAGACCAATCTTACCATTTATTCCTTACACATTTATCTTGCTTGCCATCTTTCATGCTAATTTCTTGCTTGGCTTAACGACTTCTTCTTCTTCTTCTTCTTCTTCTTCTTCTTTGGCTATACTGGCCTTTTAAGTATAACCTTTGCCTCCTTCACCCATGTTTTCCTAGACGAGAACAAATGGCTTGACTTATTCTTCAACCCTGAAGATGGAGGTGACATGTTCTTCCACAATGTCTGTTAATTTGAACAGACTACATGGCATTGTAGCCCAGAAGATAAAATCTTCTTACATTATATGATTTAAACATTGACAATATAAGACTAGTAGGACTGAAGTCCGTACAATAGAAAAAATAGGTCTTATGAGGTCTGCTTGGAAGTTCTTGTTTCTAATGATATGTAGATATCATGATGGTCTGAGTAGTTGAACTGCACTTGATGTTATAGGAACTGGTTGATGCGGGTTGTATTTTCCAAGAGCGGCAAGGCAAGGAGAGACCTGGTTGGTTCTCAACCAAGGGCGCGGCTCCTGTTCCTCCATATGATTGGTTTGGAGCATATGGACACACACAAAACACTGACCATCGATATGAAAACCAACTGAAAAAGGATCATACATTTGGTGTCACAGAAAATCATAAATTGGTAAGCTCTTGAAGTATGTAACAGCAGAGTGACAGTCTCCTGGTGGCCATATTGTATTGTCACATGTTAGTGACTAGACATGGAGTTTGGATTGATAATTGGATTTATTGGATGCCTAGAACTCCTAAGTACAAACAGTCTTACTATTCATGAACTCTGTAAATCTCTACAGCTACATTACACACAAAATCCTCTTATTGTTATTCTGCTGTCACTAGTCATTGCTGAATAGTGGCTGCCAACAGTGGAGATTCCTCATGGCCAACCACCACTGCTGAGTAGCAACTTGCAAACATTTCTGTGCCACTGCTTAGCAATGGCCACCCCTGCTTCTTCCACTGTTCCGACTTTCAGCCGTCATGTCACAGTATTCTGTATGGTTGCAACACCACATATTTGTGATTGTTTAGCATTGATGTCAGTAAGTCAGATTATATGGCTGCACCATAGCTCAAGCGGTTAGCCGCTGGCTTCCCATTGTGGCAGCCCGGGTTCGATCCCGGGTCTGGGCAAGTGGGATTTGTGGTGGACAAAGTGGCGCTGGGGCAGGTTTTCTCTGAGTACTTCGGTTTCCCCTGCCAATCTTCATTCCACCAATTGCTCCACGATCATCCTAACCTATCTGGGGCTGGTACAATAGGCCAGAAGTGGCTGTAGTACAAGGGACTTAGTCCTACCCCACTAGCAATAAAAAAAAAGTCAGATTATATAGTGTGGTCCCACTGTGGAAATGTGAGGTTATTATCTCCAATCATATCATAACCACATCTTTTCTAATTCATTATTCACTAATTGTTCTACCATTTGATGCTGTATGTTGTGTATAATAAATAAGTACTAAATAAGGTATGAGATTTGGTATTCTCATGGAAGTGAATATTAAGATGGCATTCTCCTGGAATGTGATGCCACATAGTTTGGTAGACATGCACCAGTGTTTTGGAGAAACCTATTATCTCTGTCTTCAAAGTAGAACCCTTATACCTTGAAGATGGAGGCTGAAGTTTCCTCTGAAATTTTGGTATCTGCATACCAAACTATGTGGCATCACATTCCAGAAGAACCTACTGTCTGCATCTTCCGAGTAAAAACATCTCTCTCATCTGCCCTGAAGATGCAGACAGTAGGCTCCTTCAAAATGTTGGTGTCTACTCTTCATAGAGTCACATCCTGGAAGATGGGAATCTTCCTAGTTGCCGCTGTGAGAGCTTAGAATCCTGCAGCCTAATAGCAGTTGTTGAAGAGCAGAGATTGTAAAGTTTCTCATTATATGTTTTTAAGAAGTGGTTGTTTGTTTGTTCCCCCCCCCCCAGCATGAGGTGAGATTGAGTCCACTTTGTACATTGGCCACTAATTAGCCCATTGTACCAGCCCCAGGTGATAAATGATGAATGTCAGCAGTCGGTGGAATGAGAACTGGCGAGAACCTGAAGTACTCAGATAAAACCTGCCCCAGTGCTACTTTGTCCACCACAAATCCCACATGACCTGACCTGAGCTTGAACCTGGGCTGCCATGGTGGGAAGCCAGTGAGTAACCACCTGAGCTATGGCATGGCCTTTTTAAGGAGTAAATAAATTGTTTGTTAACAGATATTTCATTCTCCCTGCAATGGGTTTGAAGAAATGTTTTGTGTAAATGATACACATGATTAACGTCCTCTTTCTGTTACCAGATTGGCGAGGAATGTCTGGCATGTCGTCAGCAGGTTGCACTTTTTGACATGTCATCCCTTGGAAAGTTTTACCTGTGCGGCCCTGAGGCCCAGAAGGCAGCGGACTGGCTGTTCACTGCTGATACCCATCATCCAATTGGCAAGACAGTGTACACCTGTCTGCTGAATTCTAAAGCTGGAGTTGAGGCAGACATCACTGTCAGCACTATAGAAACTGGAACTGGTGGACAGATAGATCCTATCTTCAAGGTCAGTTGACATTTTGAAGCCTCAAATTCATGTTGGTACAGTCTAAAAATTCAGTTTCTGTGTCACACAGAACATGGTGCATCTTTATTCCAGAGATCAACTGGTTAGGACACTGAAGTGAAATGAAGCATTTCACAGATGCCCTAAATATGGGGGGGTGGAGGAGGAGGCAGAGACTCTTACCATCTGTAACCACTTAATGCTCCTGAGACCAGTTATTCATTCACTTGTTATTCCACAGCAGCCCCACTGTACAGTACTGTGCCCACTCTTCTCTTGACATCTCTTGTGCTGCACTTAATGCTCCCTGACTGCTCCGCACTACACTGAACAAAGATTTGCCTGATCACTCACTCATTCACTCACTGACTAACTGAACACTGAAGAGCTTGCTGACTTCTATTCCACTTTTCTGCTCTGTGCTGCACTGAACTGAAATGGACCCTTGTAAGAACTTTACAAATACCTTTATAGGCATGTCACCCATGAGGAAGTATCTAATGAGTTAACGGATGACCTTGGCCTTCATGCTTGACATGGGAAGGTTGGTCCATGGGAAGCAAGAGATCTCGAGTTCTGTTTGTGAGATGGAAAGCTTTTTGATGCAGCTAGAATAAACATTGACTGACATCATTTTAATTTACATGGTGATCCAGTTGAGATGTCACAAAAAGAAACAAAAATGTTGCAGATAAGAATCCACTTTATTATGCCATATAGAAACATGGAGGGACTGTTGGACAGTCCTCTGACACATAGTGTATGGAACGTTTTTCTCAGCTGATAAGTGGTGCAGCGACTTCCATGGACTCTGAATCATGGCTTGCCGAATGTCTTCCTCCCTGTTCCTGTCACACATTTTTCTGCCTGTGTGAGGCACAGTCAGACCATTTTCCAGGAATGTTTTGTACTATGTGTCCCAATGTGTAGGGGCATGGTGACAAGTGTACTGGTGTCAAAAAACTCTCTAAGTCTTTGTAAAACGCATTGTGTTCGTTGTTGCAGTGTGACCCCCATGTTTGTCTCTCATGCATTAGCGCCGCCATGCAGCCACACTATTGAACCACCAGTAAACTCTCCATTCATCCTACATGGACATCCTTCCTGCTCATATTCAAATAAACTGCTCAGAGCTACATACATTCACCTCTTATATGCAACAGTTTACTTTTCTGACATCTCAAATGGATCATTCTGTGCATGTAACAATTCACAGTCTGAGGAAGGAAAGCTGTTTTTGTTAGGTTGGTAAAACGGTGGGGTTGGCTGATCTTCTGGTATGTGCGTCCACTCATTTATGTCTGTAATACTTCTTACTAATTAGTGATAACTTTGTTTCTTCAGGGACATGGTTTCTACATGACGACAGCTGGTGGGTCCTCATACCACACCTGGGCCCATATTAAATCTGTGCTGAATGAAAAGAAGTGTAATGTTGACTTTACTGATGTCTCTGAAAGAGTGGGTGTGTTGTCAGTGCAGGGACCAAACAGGTAATTTCTGCTGTTTGCAACAACAGTTTTCCCTTATTACACCAGTAGTTGCTGTAACCATGGAATGTAGAAATATTTCTGACCCCTGCCAGGAACTGAACCCCAGTTTTCTGGTCATTCAGTTCATAGCATGGTCACTATACTGACTGAGCTATGTGGCCCTTAGCAATATCAGCAGCGGCAGCAGCAACAAAATACGTAAAAGGTAAAGTTATCCCTGTGCTTAATTACTTAAGCTCCATGCCGTGAAGGCATATGGCAGAGTAGAAGTATAGCTTCACTATTCTCGCTCTGTGAAATAATTGGAGGTGAGTGGTTGGCTTCACACCCCTGCTGCTTTACCCCCAGGGAAAGAGCCCCCAGTACTCACTGGATAGAATGCTGGGTGGGCCCCAGAGCTGGTCTGGACATTATGGAGAAGAGTCTCTTGCCCGTGCTGCGAATTGAACCCCGGCCATCCAGCCTGTAGCGTGTTGGTTTATTGATTGAGCTTTCCTGACTCCATAGTAGTAATAAGTGGTTGTAAGTAGTGGTGGTAATCTGCTACCTCCATCTTCAGTGTAAAAGACGTCTTCTGTCCTCAAGTTTTGGAAGATGCAGGCTCATTCAAACCATTGGTCATAACTAAGGGGACCATAATGTTTGATACATAAAACGTATGGGGGAGGGGCATGAATTAAATTTTGTAAAATGGAAGAAATAAAGTTGATCTCTTCTGTCTTGCTTGGCTTATTCTTCTACCCTGAATATGGAGGTAATATTCTGCTTTGAAACTTCTGGCACTCTATGAGTCAGTGGACTGTACTCTTCAAATAAAAATTAAACAGTTGATGTTGACAGTGGCTCTTCCTTTTTCTTCATGGGTCAGTGGATGGAAAATCTCCAATCTCGCATTTCTTCATGCCATTTTTCGTTTTAAATTTCTTGCCGCTTCTTTTTTTTTTTTTTTGGTATCTCCCATTATCTGGGTAAACCATCTTATTCTGTGCTTTCCCCTACATACTTCACATTAAATTGTAATTGTAATGGCGTTCGTGGTGTCCTTGTTCTTTGAATTCATTTTACATGGCCAGACCATTGTACAATTCATTTGTAGCTCTATTAACAAATTTTGAATTCCAGCTTCTCCAAGAATTTTGTGCTTCTGCTGCCACTGACTACTTCAAGTAAAACTAGAAAACCGTTGTTTCAGCCGAGCTCTGCTTCAGCCATTGTTGGATGTGGAGCTAGATAATGAGACATTTCCGTATGCAACAACAAAGTTAGTAAAGGCAGCTGGCCATCTGTGCCGAGCCATACGAATCAGTTTTGTTGGTGAAATGGGTTGGGAGCTGCACATTCCATGGGACTCGTGTCTGCCAGTATACAAAGCACTGTGGGCACAAGGGGTGAAACATGGGCTGAGGCATGCTGGATACAGAGCTCTTTCTTCTCTGAGCAGTGAAAAAGGTAGAGCATAAACTGTTTCAGTACATGGCAGTATTAAAGCTAACTCTATGGAGCTGAGCCCTTCTTGAAAAGCCACCAGTTGTGCAGTCACTCAACAGTTTCCAAGCATTTTATGGAACCTGAAGGTTCATAACCACGTTCACAAGAGCCTTCCACTGGTCCTATCCTGAGCCAGATCAATCCAGTCCATATCATCCCATCCTATCTCTCTAAGATCCATTTTAATACTATCCATCCACCTATGTCTAGGTCTTCCTAGTGTGCTCTTTCCTTCTGGCTTTTGCCACCAAAATCCTGTATGCATTCCTGTTGGCCCCATTCATGCTACATACCATGCCCCTCTCATCCTCCTAGGCTTGATCATTCTAATTGTACAGATTCAGGTTATGAAGCTCCTCATTATGCAGTTCTCTTGAGCCTCCTGGCATTTCATCTTTCTTAGACCCAAATATTCTCCTCAGTACCATATTCTCAGACACCCCCATTCTGTGTTGCTCCCTTAATGTCAGAGACCAAGTTTCACATCCATACGGAACCATAGACAAAATTACAGTTTCTCAATGTTACATTTAGTAAGTCCATGTTGCTTACATGCAGTGCAAAAGTGTAATGTGTCAATTAAGTGACACCTTCATTCATTCATCAGTAATCTGTCAAGACGACAGGTCCACAGTCTCTTCCAAAACACTTCCTCCATTTAATGCGATCTAGAGCTTTCTCCTTCAAATGACAGTATCCTCTTCTGTCCCCAAGGTCATCCAGCATCTTCTTACGTCTTCTTCCTCGTCTTCTTGTCACTTCTATCCGCCCCTCTGTCTTTCCTTCGATAACTTCTTTTAGAAGGCAGTTTCTGCGTAAAACATGACCAATCCAATTAGCCTTCCATTTTCTTATTTCGTGTAGGATATTCCTCTGCTCACTGACTCTAATTAACACTTCTTCATTTCTCACATAATCGGTCCAACTGATCTTCTCCATCCTTCTCCAACACCACATTTCAAAAGACACCTTCATACATCTATTAAATATCCTTTAGAATGAACAAATCTCAGTCGCTGGATCTGTTTTTGTCCTCAGCTAAAAAGACACGGAGGCACCTCCTCAGTAGGGTTCTTTCTTCAGGGCTTTAGTATGTCACGGCTGATGTCATCTGTTGACAGAAATTCTGTACCAATTGACTAACAGTGAGCTGATCACTTCAGCTGTGGCAGTCTTGATGCAAATGCCCCAAACAGAACTGACCAGCTTGTGATGTGAGAGAGCATCTAGCGTGGAAGCTGGTTAGAAAACCTCCACCATAGCCCTGCTAGTTGTAGAATGTGATGGAATGGGAACCCGGTGCCTTGTGGTATAACTGGGCCACTTGATGATGGTGATGATGTATGATGTATGAAAGATGCAAGCAATCTCTTTGAAGCCTAACTCCAAACTTAATTCAAAAATTGGCTTTTTGAATATTATCCATTATCCTAATGTTATCTTAGATGATGTTTTGGAGTCTGTATTGTCACGTGATGAAGCGACTGGAGATGGGGTTTGGAGTGGTATCTTGGATTTATGGGACACTTAACATTCATTACTACAAATGACTGTGAGAGTCTCAATGAGTCACAAACTCCAAGTTCACTGTAACTACAGCACACATAAAGCCTTCTCAGTCTTCACTAGCCGTTGCTTGGTAGCGGCTTCAAACAGCGGACATTCCCCTTCCTCTGGGTTCCCAAACTGTCCCCAGCCACAACTGCCAGTTTCTCACTTGACAAAACCAGAACTGTCAACAGACTAGTCCTCGTTATATGGAAAATATGCAAAAATTGGTTAGTTTATTAATTCCAAACTGAAGTCCATCTACTGTACAAACCTCTCGTGAACATATGTGAATGCCTTATGTATGTTGAAGATAGAATCTAGCAAGTTTCTAACTTAACAGTGATGCACACCCATCCCAGTGGTAGATGAAGTGTAATTATGATTGTACACTGATGTAAAATATGTGGAGGAAATTTGTGAATCCTTGCTAAAAGTCGAAGACAATTATTTTCATACATTAAATCGAAAAGAAACCTGAATATAATTGCCAAACATTTATAACCTATTTCAGCCCTTTCAGATATCCCAAAATTATATTTACTGGTATCGCTTCTATTGTATGCAGTATCTTTCTCCAAAAATATGTTTGCTGGTATTGTTAAGCCATGTTTTAGCATCAAGGAGAACATCAGTATGCATACCAACTTAACACTTCCTGGACCGGTGATTGAAATATTTAAATCACCCTGGGGACCGGCATTTTTAAACATACTACCCTAACTTGTGCACTGTTCACTTTAAAAATTAATATAAAATCTCCTAATTAATTTTTTGAACTAAATTTTTTGGGGAACACTTACCAATGCTCCTAGAAGTTCTTGAGAGTGTGATATTTCATGGAAACATTCCCCTTTGTGAAGTGGCATTACACAGAACTTGCAAATGTAGACGTACTCCTTTTTTTTGTGAACTGTGCAAACACGGCATTGCCTAGAAGGATTTTTCCCTTTGGCATGTTCACTCTTCACAATTTTCACAAGGGTATTTTTCCATATATCACTTGAGAGTCACCCTGGGGGATCCACATGAAGCCTTTGTGGGGTGGGAGTTGATGGGCCCAGTCATACTAAGTCTTTGTGTGACCCTGGTTCTGCCGCCACCATCTGGACTGTAGCACAGGCCTTTTCCACATTAATCAGAAATGCTTTGTATTTCAATTTTGAATCAGGGTTGAGATTTTTTTTTAGATTTTTTTGCTGTCCCCGCAATGTTATTAACCGCATTATCGTCGGAGCTACTGTCACTTTTACTATCTGGCCACAATTCTTTGTTGTCCCCCGTCACTGTCGCTGTCTGAATGACAATCCATTACTATGCGTCTCACAAGGCAGGTCAGCTAGGTCATAGGAGGAGAATTTGTCCTTGATCCATTCTCCCCACTAGCTACTAGCTGATACACACAGCTTGAATAAGGCAAAGCATTTTCCATTATAGTCGGTTAAGTAAACAGCGAGGTCAAGTTACTGACTGCTAACTAAACATTCCAGGGTCTTATCACGCATCTGCAGGTGGTTGCGTGTAATGAAGGTGGCGCCAGAGCTATGTATAGTGTGTTGCAACTTATTATGTTCTAAAACGTATTAATACCTGACCAGTCCGCCACATATAAAAGCAAAAAACATATTAATGCGTGTGCGGTTCGCAAAGTGTTAAAAATAGCCTACGATATGTATTTCAGAAATGATAATACAAGGTGGTTCAAATATGACTGGGACTGATTTTTTTTTTTAACCAAAATTTCCAAACACTTACTTGCACATGTCAGTCTTCAATGTACTCCCTTCCGGAGTCAACACATTTTTTCCAACGTTCTGGAAGCATCCTGATGCCCTTTTCAAAAAAGTTTTGTGTTTGGTGCCATATCCACTCCCAAACATTCTGGATGACGGCGTCGTCCACAAACCGCATGCCTTGCATGTCTGATATGAGCCTTCCGAACATGTAGAAATCACTTAGTCCCAAATCGGGACTGTACGGCAGATGTGTCAGAAGGTTCAATTTCAATTTCCGGAGAGTTTCCATTGTTGTTTTGGCCGTATGGGGGCATGCATTGTCTTAAAGGAAGGCTACCCGCTTTCCACCTCTCTTCCTCTTGGATCGGATCTTTTCCTTCACGTCTGTTGCCAGGAGGTCTGAGTAATAAGCTAATGCAGCTTATTACTCAGACCTCCTGGCAACAGACGTGAAGGAAAAGATCCGATCCAAGAGGAAGAGAGGTGGAAAGCGGGTAGCCTTCCTTTAAGACAATGCATGCCCCCATACGGCCAAAACAACAATGGAAACTCTCCGGAAATTGTTCTGGCATCTGTCAGAAAGTCTACATGGATAACCCCCTGCCAGTCCTAGAAGAACATTGCCATCTCTTTTCCTGCCAAACAGCTCCTCCGCGCTCTCTTGGGTTTGGGAGAACTGGTATGCTGCAACTCGCATGATGATTGCTGGGACTTGGGAATGAAGTAGTGCACCCACATTTCATCGGTGGTCACTATAGACTTCAAAAATGCATCACCTTCATCTTCAAACTGCTATAGGAGACGACTGGCAACTTGCATGCGCACCATTTTGTTCACGTCCGTCAAAGTGCGTGGTACCCACCATGCATTCACCTTGCGATAGTGCAGATGGTATTTCATGATGTCTTCTACACTACCAACACTGATGGACAGCATTGCTCCAAGTTCCTTGATAGTGATGTGCCTATTCTCATGAATAAGTGCGTCTGCACGATCAATGTTTGGCTTGGTGACGGATGTTCGCGGCCGACGATCATGCGGTTCATTCTCCACGCACTCTCTGCCCCCTCTGAAGCACTTACACCACTCAAACACACAGGTCCATGAGAGACACTCTTCCCCATACTGTTGTTGGAGTCTGTGGTGAATTTCAGCGGACGGGACGTTTTCTCCAATGAGGAATTTGATCACAATGCATTGTTCCACGCTCTGCGGTACCTTCTGTTCACTCATCATTCTAGCAACTTCCAGACAGGACTGAACAGGTTCTAACCCTAACATGAGGGAGGGTGGAGGTTGTGGCTTCACTCTCTCAAGGTCGCACAGCTGCTGCGCAGTGCGGCTTGTTTACGAAAAAATCAGTCCCAGTCATATTTGAACCACCTAGTATTTGTAATAATGTTATATTTCAGCATCCTGTTGCACTGTACAGATCTGACTTTTGGAGCTTTCATACCGTCAGTGTGCAACTTTGTTCACTCTTGCTTCTTCATTTTCCTTTATTGGACCCAATATGTGTCGGCCTAACTGGCCACCTGGCCACCTTCAGGTGTACAGGTTGTTATGGTTAAGGATTCTGCAGCTCACTGTAATGCAGTTTTCTTTCCTCCAATTGTAGTTATCTCTGTTTATTTTGGTTATGTGGGTTACCATTAGTTTTATTTAGGTGTCCCTGGGTTGCACGTTGCTTTTGGTTTTGTTTGGTTTGTTGGTTGTGGCTGTCTTGAATGTTCATGCTGGGGCAGGAGTTCTGTTGTGTGTGAATGACCTTGCATGTAGATGACACAAAGGCTCCTAAGTCAGATAATATTTGTATTAAAATTACAAGGGATCTAGTGGTCTTATAGTAAGTTTATGGAATCTCATTCAGACTGAGTTTGTTTCTTTATCGAGTATGTGCATGAGTTTTTCTGCTTTGATACTGAAACATTCACTTCCATCTAAGATGGAAGTATGGGAATGCAAGAGGTACAAAGTGCTTCCCCAGTTTGTGATTATCCTGCCATGGGGAGGAACAGAATCTGCTGTGTATGCACCTCTGTCTCAGAAATCGATTCTTGTTGTGCTTATTCAGGCAGAGGCCAGAAAGTTCAACCATACCTGGGAACTGCTGACAGACAACAGCATGTTAAAGTTAATGAAGTAATACCACAAACTTCTCTTGGCAGGTTATCATTTGTGGCATTTTGATCTGCAAATCTGTGACAATCCTCTCGAGGCTGGATTGGACTTTGTGTGTAGAGAGACGGGTGATTACCTGGGCAAAGCAGTGCTGGATGTAATCAGGCAGAGAGGACTTACCAAGAAGCTCCTTCACTTCCAGCTTAAGAAGTAAGTATGTTACTGTAATCTGCTTGTGAGGTCTCAATATTTCCAAGCATATATTATGAATAATATTACTGATTTATAATGTTGGAAATTTTACAGAAACATTCCAATTTGGGGCTTTGAAGCAATTTGGAGAGATGATCAAGTTGTAGGTTACATTCGAAGGGGAGAGTTTGCCTACAGCTTAGGGAGCTTCATAGGACAAGGGTGAGTAGTACATTATTACTGACTGAAATTGCACTGTGCTGGTTTGTTTTATTTTGTTTTGTTTTGAAAATTCAGATTCCATCTATATCAGCCAGTTATCCTGAAGGTAACTTGTGAAGGTATTGCAATTCATGGTAAGGAGACCCATGATAATAAATTAACTGATGACTTGTGATGGTGAAGTAACTTGGAAATATATTGTGGCTTGTTATAATAAAGTAACTCAATGATGGGGCAGCCCATTGTGAACTAACTTGTGAAAATAATATAATTCATGATAAAGTGACTCAAAGATTGTGTGACTTATGGCAGTAAAATAACCCTTCATAATAAAACAGTCTTTGGTTACAGTTTAGCACATGATGTTGAACTGGTTCACTTACTTAATAACTCAGATGATAACTGATGATAAAGTGGCTTATACTCATGATGATAATGTGACACAAATTAAAGTAATATAATTATGCAGGGAGGTTCTTACCTTTGTTGACTGGTTCATAGCTCTGCTCTTAATGGTGATCAGTGCACTGCTGGTTGCAAGGCACATACAAATATTGCTGATGAATCACTATGCCTTTTGGCTGATAGTGTTTGGAATGAAGTAATTACAATACACAGATCACAGGAGGTGTTGAAAATTGCCAAAAAAGTACCCATACATATCTTTAGTAATTAATTGTTTCATTAAAAATCACAGGTCCAGCAATCCCTGCACCTACAGCAAACCAGACATCAACTTTCATGGTTGGAACAGGACATCATGGGTTAGATGTGGATTCTGATAACTCCAGTAATGATTATTTTGCATATTCATGTATCCCTGCAAGTGAAACCATGCTTCATCAGAAAAAAAATTCCAATTATAGATCAATCTCACTTTCAGTGATGGACTGTAGAAACCAACTGCAAAAATGAATCCTGCTAGCTGGATCGTGCAGCTGCAATGCATCGATTACTGTCCTTTTGTAGGGTCTAAGCTTCAGTAATTGTGTTGCCCTTCTTGCACTAGACTTTGACACTCCAGTCTCTTGAGGTAGACATTTCAGTGATTTTCTAAGTGTATGTTTAAGTGTGGCACCTGTGTCATCTGACTTTTCCTCGGTAAGCGCTCGACACTTATGTCCTTTTTTCTTGTCTCTTAACACATTGCGGACCAGTGGTTTAAACATTTAAATCACCCTGGGGACCGGCGTTTTTAAACTTACTACCCTAACTTGTGCACTGTTCACTTTAAAAATTAATATAAAATCTCCTAATTAATTTTATGAACAGAAATTTTTGGAGAACACTTACCAGAGCTCCTAGAAGTGCTTGCACATGTGATATCTCTGGAAACATTCCCCTTTGTGAAGAGGCATTACGCAGAAGTTGCACATGTAGGCAGTTCTGCTCTTCTTCTTGTGCTCTGCGCACACACGGCACTGCCTAGAAGGGTGTTTCTTCTTGCAATATTCACTCTTCACAATTTTCACGAGAATATGTTTCCGCATATCACCCGAGAGTCGGCCAGGGGGGTCTACTTGAGGCCTCTGGCGGGTGCGAACAGATGGCTCTGGCTGCACTACGTCTGTGTCTGACGCAGGTACTGCCGCCACCATGACGTCAGTAGCCCAAGCTTTTGCCAGTTTCAACAGAAATGCTTTGTATTTCAAAGTAGAATTTCTGTTCACCTTTTTGAAAACCGTAAATGAATTGAAAATTGCACAGTTTATAAGCTACAGTGCAACTTTCTTCATCCATTTTACTGTTTTCTTAGGAAGGGAATAATAGGCCAAGAACTGGTCGGCCCTATCAACTCCTTTCATGAACATATTATACTCGGATATACAAAGAGGCTTCTTTACTTGCCCGTGTCGTCTTTGAACATCGACCATGCTCGAATTGTGAATAGTGGAAACCATATTCACAATGCGAGTATCCCTCCAGGACTGAAGAAGAATGTGCCCCTTCCGTCAAAGAAACTATCTCCAAAAAACAGTGACGTAACTTCAGACACATCCGTTGGGTCCGATGGCATCTGCTTCACCCCCGGATCACCAGTAAACTTTCCCAAAGTGGGGGTTTTGTCCACTTTATCCCATGTAGCTGTCCCAACACTCACACTTTCAACAGACCTCTCACTTTCACTTGACACATTTTGTGCAGCCCTGTGGTCACTGTCACTGTCACTGTTTCTGTCACTGTCACTGATAATGGCCTCGCTATCAGAAGACGAAGCAGTTGGCAAATCTGATAGCTCATCGGAGAACATATCTAATATTTCCTGTCCTCCGAGAGATCGCAACTGCTTTCATCTCTGAGCCATGTTGAACTGGTAGCTGCGTGGTTCATACGTGCAAGCTTGGATTAGAACAAAGCCAATTTTGTTTAGGTTGTGACAGGAAATGACTCTGGTCGAGTTACTAGATAAGGCAGCAATCATTCCCGAGGTCATCTACGCAGTAGTTACAATTCAACGAAGCCACACAGCGATATATAGCGTTTTGCAACATAACGTGACCGTAGAGGGCCATATGGCCCGCCCAGTCCACGACGCTTGGAAACGTAGAGGGCCATATGGCCCGTCCGGTCCGCAGTGTGTTAAAAGTCCCCTTGACCTAAGTTTATTCATCACATTGTGAATTGGTTGTCTGCTGGGAACTCTTTCATCACAAAATTTATGTCAACACTTTCTAGCTGACCCACATTTCATGTAGGTGTCATACAGAAATACACATTGCTTGAAACTGTACTGCACCATGATGGAACACACTGCTCACTAATTGTAACTGAGAACAAATGGCTAATGGTGCTGATAACTGTCACCCACTGCTGACAAATTATAAACAAATTCCCATACATGAACTGCGCTGCTGGCCGTGAAACATAATGCTCTTTAGTGGTCCGCAAAGTTGATAATTCCAAGTACTATCAGCTATCAGGCATGTTGATGCATCAGCAGCTGGCGGTGCACTGGTCACCATGGACTGGTCAACAAATGTAAGGACCTCCCTGTATGCTACTAATGCATGATGATGAAATAACCCATGATAAAGTACGAGGGTAAGTCAATAAGTAAGTTACAAATGGATATAGAACTTAAACAAATAAGAGTACTGATTTGAAAAATGCTTTTATTTCTCAACATAATCTCCCTGTACATTGAGGCATTTGTCCCATCGTTTCACAAGCCCCTGAAAACCAGCAGCGTAAAATTCTTTGGGCTGCTGTCAGAACCAGGTGGTCACTTCCCTTTCTACAGCTTCATCATCAGGAAAATGTTCAGCCGAAAGATGATGTTTAAGAAGGCCGAACAAATGGAAGTTGCTTGGAGCAAGGTTGGGGCTATACAGAGGATGCTCGAGGACTTCCCACTTGAAATTTTTCAGCGTCTCATTTGTCTTGTTGGCAGTATGGGCACACGCGTTGTCATGCAAGAGCAACACGCCTTTGGTGAGGAGTCCTGGTCACTTTTGTTGAATGGCCTTACAAAGTTTCCTGAGGATGTTACAGCAGGAGTTGGCGTTTAGAGTTTGTCATTGAGGCTGGAATGTGGTGAGATGTATGCCTTCGTAATCCCAGTCACCACCTGGTTCTGACAGCAGCGCAAAGAATTTTATGCTGCTGGTTTTCAGGGGCTTGTGAAATGATGGGACAAGTGCCTCAATGTACAGGGAGATTATGTTGAGAAATAAAAGCATTTTTCAAAGCAGTACTCTTATTTGTTTTAGTTCTATATCCATTTGTAACGTACTTATTGACTTACTTACGTAGTATAACTTCTGATGATGTAATACTAAGTCATAATCATATAATTTATAATGATAAACACTAACCCCTTATATCCATAGTACTGGTCTCTGATTATGAGGAAGTTAAAAATTGTTACAAACCAAATTTTCCATCTTTATATTAAGACAGTTTTATTATCGATTTTTACAGTTTCATAATTTTTATTGTCAGTGCAACAATACTTTATTACTTATTTATATAGCATGCACTACATGTTTCGACCTCAAATGGGTTATCTTCAGGTGCTGTAAATTTCTCACGTACTATCACCAAACTGCAACACTAACATTACCATTTTTGTAAATGGTTTGTACAGGTTACTTTCTATTCAATTCACAAAATAGACAAAACTTAGATTATACTTTTGTTAAAATACAGTAAAATAAGAATAAAAATATTACATGTGCTAAAGTCATATACGTAACAATAGGTTAAGCCTAATTTAATAATTAGGTGATCTTAAATCACAATTTGATATATAAAAATGATCTTTCAGGATGTTATAAGCTGCGAGTAGCTTCATGTTTGTTACTGCAGTAGTAAGGCTGACAACCTTACCGCCATCTTTGAGCCAATTGTCTAGATGATGTGGGACCCTCAATGTCTCACAACCCTATGGGCCCTCATGGCCTGTTACAGGGTTAGCATTACTTTTTTATTAATAGTGATGTGTTGGATTTTACATTTATAATAGGTTTTTGAATATTAATTCCTTTATAATATTTATTTGCTACTTACGGTTAATGTGTGCTGTTTATATTGTAGCGTGTTTTGTGTGTCACACTACAAATAGATTCACGTAGGCCTCCAATTAAGTAGAACCTTTATTGTTCTTCCGCTTACACAATCTCGAGTACAACTACTATTCACTGTGGCACCTCAACTGTCTTCTGCGACGGATGTTCCACGACACTCTACTTTGAAGGCTGGATAGCGACTGACTCCTTAGATGGCTCGATGAAGACTGACTGTCGTGCGAATGCATTAAACCCCGCTGTTGTCGCTGTGGAAACGTTGCTCTGTCGGTTCCGCGTTCCCTACGCAATGACCCATTGTTATTGCGTTGTCTCTGTGGGAACGCTTCGCGTATTCGTCGTAACCGTGGAGATTCAATGTTCTCTACACAACGGCTCACTGTTGGGATTACAGTGCCGCTATTGTTACTTCCTATGCAACGGTCTCTTCTAGCGTCTCCATAGAAGTTACTCTTCTGTATTGCCGACACGTTACAATATTATGGGGTTCATTGTTCTCCATGGTTCATACTACAGTAAGCTGTTTCATTTAAGGGTTCTTGCTTGTCCCAGAATAAGGGTAATGGTAATGGAGGGATGGGGTGTTCAGGGGAAGGGAAAATATTAAGGGGGTGAAGTGGGTGGGATGTGTATAATGGTGGGGCAGTGTAGTGGCTGGTAGAGATTTCTGTAAAGCTTTAGGTCGAAACATGTAGTGCATGCTATATGAATAAATAATAAAGTAATGTTGCATTGATGGTAAAAATTATATATGTTCATTGTATATATGCAACAGGATGCAATCTTTAAAATATTTGCAATTTCACTTTAACCTTTATATTTTCTGTTGATATATGCAGCTATGTGAAGCACCCAGATGGTTATCCTGTAACTTTTGACTATCTTGAGAATGGCTGTTACCAAGTGGAGGTGATGGGGAAGCGCCATGAAGCCATCGCTTATTGTAAGAGCCCATTCGATCCAAATGGGAAACGTCTGCTAGGGATATATGAAGAACCACTACTAAGCAGACAGTAAGGCCCAAATAATCATACAGTTATTGTGTTTCTGGACATTATCCATCTTCGTGTGTTAAGTTAAAAGACAGTTGGGCCCAATTAATAAAGCTAGTCCCCATCTCTGGACACCAGCACCAACAGAAGAAGAACTACAGTTATTTTGATGACTATGATAGCCTGTATATTTTTGTGCGTGTCTCTGTGCGCACACAGGTGGATGATGGTTGTGTCTGTGCAGGTGGGCTGTTGGGTGTTTGTGTGCTTATTACAGATACCCTGAAGCCATCAGATCTCATAATATAATAGAAGTAGCAACAAAATTGCAAATTTCAGTAGATATTCTGGCAATTGTAGCAGCTTTGTGAAGTTAACCCTTTCCCTGCAGCCCTGCATGTGTTGCATCCGCCCTTCAGGGCCTGTGCAGGTGCAAAACCCGTTGACTTTGTCAACACCAGAGTGTATGTGAATGTTTAATGCTGCATGACTGGAATCTTTAAAGAAATAAGTGGGCATCTGAGGTGCATGTTTTGATGTTGAGCTTCCCAGTTTTTATTCTCCCCATAAATTATTAAGATGATCGTGTGGTACACTTAGATCTGTGTACAGAACTTCTGTTGCAAATTCCAAATAGAAGAGACAACTTAAGAGATCCTGTCTGCTTTGTGATTGAACCCAGGCTCTTGCAACGAGTAATCTATGGTATAATTGCCTGAGCTATGGCATATTCATTGCCTCTATCTTGGGGTCCTTACGTTCTCTTCAGAACTCTGTTTCCAAGTACCTTCAGCCATTTCCTTTGCTTCTGAATGAAGGAGTGAGTTTCATAGCCCTACGAAACATTGGGTGGACTGTAAAGTATGTTGTAACTGATCATTATTGTGTATCCTGCAGCAGCCCAACTGATTGTATAATACTGCATCCTGTCTCTAATGCTTACCATACATCTTGTTATCCTGTCAGCATAAACTTCAGTCAAAAAGACATTAAGTTCCACTGCATAAAGTGTATTATCTCCTAAGATATAATGCCATGTAGTTTAATAGAAGTCCACACTAATGTTGCCTCCGTCTTCAGGGTTGACAGACTAGTCGCTTGGCTACACTGAAGATGGAGGCATCATGTTCCTCTGAAACATCAGTTAATTTCTTCCATACAGCCTGGCTTAAATCTCTTGTGCAGTATATTCACTGCTGTGAGAATCTCACATCAAACACATTCTAGTACAGGTGATGATCACCAATCACCCATCACCACCTCAAAATCATTCACAGATTTATATAAACCATTAAAACCCTAAAGAACGGTTTTTTAAATTTATATTTCAGGTTGGGTCCACATATTGTATGAAAATAAAAATTAGAACATCAGAAAGTACTAAGTTGATTTGTTGTTGTTGTTAGCCTTCGTGTTCCTCCCAGCAATCTTAGGGGCTTCTCATTGTTTGGTGTTTGTCCCTCTAATAAAAACTGTCCTGCTCAGTGTGCCTATGCTGCCAACGTGGTGGGTAAAGTTCTCGACATATTTGGAGTCGGGGCCATTTCTCTCAATCACATTTATACTCATTAACCTGAAATTGTTAATAATATTGTTCTTACTCTAAATGTTCTGTGTCATGTAGTTCGTTCCTAGTTATCATGTTCTTGTTACCACTCCTCATCCTCGTTTGTTTGTTTGTTTGTTTCCTGTATTAATGTGTTGTTTCCTCCAGTGCTTGCCTGTGATTTGTCTTTGATTTTATGTTTGTCCATAATGTAATTACCTGTATCTACACTGTGCTCTGTCTGTATTTGGCATTGTGGCTGTTGACTTGTCACATAAATAATAAAAAATGATTATTATTATTATTATTATTATTATTATTAATTGAATTGAATTATTGTGGCTGTTGACTCAGCACATAAATAATAAAGAATTGAATTGAATTATTATTATTTGTTTGTATGTTTACTTGTTTTTTTGTTTGTTTACTTGTATTCATTAATGCGTTTTTCCTCATGCTTGCTTGTAATTTGTCTTTGACTTTATGTTGTGATTGTCCATAATGTAAATACTTGTTTCTGCACTGTGCTGTGTCTGTAATTGGCCTTGCGGCTCTTGACTTGGCACATAAATAATAAAGAATTGAATTATTATTATATTATTATGTGTTAAAATGGTACAGCATCATAATATGTATATGTCATCAAAGGCTTAAATTCTTATATAGGCTTTGTTGATCAAGCCATTGTGCTAGAAGTACAAATCAGAGATGCTCATCTGTTCATATGAGTGGGAATTGTGAGGTAAAACTCTGTTTCATTATGGCAGTCTTTGGTATGTACCACAAATTGAGTCCTGGCTGCTCCAAGGATTTGTTATCAGCCTACTTCCGAGCCCTAACACCGACATTTCAGAAATCATTATCTGCATTGTCAGTCCATCTCAGTTTTGATCTTCCTATATTCCTTCATCCTGTGGACTTTGCAATCACGATTCTTGTTGATGTTCCCTATTCCTCCATCCACATCATGCGGCCTGTGCAAGTCATGTTACAGCTGCAATATTTGGATCTTCCAAGAGTCTATATGTCTTTCACCATATTTGTCCATACCTAACTGGGTCATATATTTTCCTCAGTACCAGGAGCCTTGACATCTCACAACCCTATGGACCTTCATGGCCTGTTACAGGGATAGCTTTACCTTCTTTTTACCTTCATTTCACACATACCAAGTAGACTGTTTTCCACATTATGCCTTACATCTATATTTTATTGGCTTCTGATATTAAAACTAATTTTAATGTCAACAGTATTTTATACATTTCATTTCATTTTATTATCATTCAACAATCCATACATACAGGTATTACAACCATTTGGATAGGGAAATTGTCAGTTTTACATCTAATTCTCATGCATATCTTTACAGTAGACACTGTACCACCCTAACATAGTGGGTTTGTCATCTGAATAATATTATCTAAATCTAGTTACCATTAACTGCATTGTCTTTACACAAATACAACAAATTAATCATCTACATATTACATTTACACACTTGATTAATCAAAAGACATAAATTCATCTACAGAATAAAAGGAATGTTTCAGCAAGAAAGATTTTAATTCCTTTTTAAATGAGTTAAAATTTTGCCTTTGTTTTATTTGATTGGGGACCTTATTATACAAACTAATTCCCATATTTATCACAATCCTCTTAAAAAGAGCTGTATTACAGTGCTGTACATGAAAATTTAATTTTCTTCGTGTGTTATAATTATGAATGTCCGAATTTATTGCCATAAAAGCCTTGTATTTTTTGATAAAGCATGTCACCTCCAATATATACAGAGAAGGCAATGTTAAAACATTGTAATCTTTAAAATCTTTAATCTACATGACGTGCGACTACTAATACCACTAATCACATTCAGAACCCACTTTTGCAATTTAAAAATGCTTTTACTTTCCCCATCCCCACCCCACAATAAGATACCATTTCTCATACACAACTCAGAATTCGAAAAATAAATAACTTTTATCATATATGGACTCATTATTTCTTTTAATATTTTCACCATATAAATTACTTTGCATAGCTTTGCTTTTAGAAATTGAGCATGAGCGCACCATTTTAGGGTTTCTGTCATGTGAATTCCAAGAAATCTCAATTCTGACTGATATACTATTTCTGTATTATTAAAAACTATTTGTGGTCTTAACGGATCTCTCCGCTGTTTTGAGTGAAATAACATGGCAGATGTCTTTTTAGTATATATTACAAGGTTATTTTTTTTGAAACCATATTTCTAATTGTAAGTTTTGAGGTTTTCACGGCGCCTAAACCCAGAAGACGACTTTCTTCATATTTCTAATTCTTTCATAATATTCATTATTTTATGTTGAAGGTCAAGTTCATTTCCAGTAATTATCAAATTGGTATCGTCTGCATATAAAACCAGCTTTGCTCCTTGAACATTTTCTGTAAGATCATTAATGTATAGTAAAAATAAAAGTGGCCCCAACTATTTGTGGTCTTAACGGATCTCTCCGCTATTTTGAATGAAATAACATGGCAGATGTCTTTTTAGTATTTATTACAAGGTTATTTTCTTTGAAACCATATTTCTAATTCTTTCATAATATTCATTATTTTGTATTGAAGGTCAAGTTCATCATTTCCAGTAATTATCAAATTGGTATCGTCTGCATATAAAACCAGCTTTGCTCCTTGAACATTTTCTGTAAGATCATTAATGTATAGTAAAAATAAAAGTGGCCCCAAGACTGATCCCTGTGGTACACCATACTTCACTTTCCTACATGATGAATTATAACTGGTTTTGACACTGCTGTCAGTATTTTTTATTTCTACATATTGGATTCTGTTTGACAGGTAAGACCTGAACCACATATTTGGCATGCCTCTTATGCCATATGGGTCTAGTTTCTCTAAAAGTGTATCATGGTCTATTACGTCATATGCCTTTGATAAATCAAAAAATAATACTATGGCATGTAGACCGTTATCTGAGGCCTCCTGTATACTTTCAATAAAAGACTGACTTGCTGTGTCAGTTGATTTATTCTTTCTGAAGCCATTTTGGATCTCTTTGAAATGTGTAGCAAAGTTCAAATGTTTGGGAATGACAGTAACAAATCAAAATTTGAAAGGAAACTAAGGGGAGATTGAATTCTGGTAATGCTTGTTACCATTCAGTCCAGAACCTTATGTCTATTCATCTGCTGTCTAAAAACATAAAAATTAGTATATACATAACTATAATTTTACCTCTGGTTCTGTATGGGTGTGAAACTTTGTCTCTGACATTAAGGGAGGAGTGTAGACTGAGGGTGTTTGAGAACAGGGTGTTGAGAATATTTGGACTGAAGAGATATGAAGTGACAGGAGGTCGGAGAGCACTGCATAATGAGGATCTTCATAACTTGTACTCTTCTCCAAATATAATTAAAATGATCAAGTCAAGGAGGATGAGATGGACAGGGCATGTAGCACGAATGGGGGAGAAGAGGGATGCATGTAGGATATTGGTGGGAGACCAAGACGTGGGTGGATGGATAATACTAAAGTGGATCTTAGAGAGATAGGACGGGGTGGTATGGACTTGGTTTATCTTATTTAAGATGGGGACCAGTAGAGGGCTCTTGTGAATATGGTTATGAACCTTTGGGTTCCATAAAATGTTGGGAACTTCTTGAGTAGCTGCATGACTGGTGGCTTCTCAAGAAGGGCTCAGCTCCATGAAGTTAGTTAGTTAGACCTGTTTTAAATCATCCGTACAGAAGTAATGCAAAATTCTGTTTTACAATTTGTTACCCTGGAAGAAGGACATATGGCTGAGATGCTTCTGGATTCATGACTGCTTATTAATTGAACACTTGTGTGCTAGTGTGCCTGACATTTCTAGTGTCAGTGTAAACTGGTACTAACATTTAGTGTAGCAACCTGAACCCTTGCAGAATGGATACCAAACCAAATCCACAGAATAGATATGGAATTTTTTGGACATATTGTGGATGTAGTAATTGAATAGAATTAGAAGTATAATTTTTGGAGGTGCAGTTTCAATTTAGAATGTGTTAATAGAGTTGGTAGTTAAACAATTACAATGCTTTGGCCATGTAGAAAGAATGGATAGAACAAGGGGACTGAGAAAGCCATTAAAATAAAAATTTATAAGAAACAAAATTATGGGATGACCCAAAATAAAGGATAGGATAGCCATGTTGTAGGAAGACATCAAGTGGAAAGGAAAGAGGTGGCAAAAGAAAGTGAAAAAAAAAAGAAAGGTATGTGAAGAAAGACATAATCGGAGATTTTCTCCATCAGCCCATATAAAACAGAAAATGATGCTGGAAGAACAGAACAGAACATTTGGTACAGTTACAGTTCATTGTATTCTAATCTTTAGTCCTTTTTAAAGTTTAAATAAGATGACATTTGCAAACAACATTCACCAGCCCCTCCGCCCCCTACATTCAGGCCATATTTTCATACCCAGCTCATTCTGCCCTGAAGATAAAGGAAGCAAGTTTCATTAGACTTTCATAATGACCTATCAGACTATAATGTGTAGAGTCTCAGAAATGTGTATTTGTACTAATATAAATCCTGTGTAATATATATCTCGCTCCAAAATACCTCATTTTATTACTTCAGCAAGCTTCATTATGTATTTTCTGAATACTGTGACCATTCACATGACACACGGTTTAAAATTTCAGTAAGTATTATATGAATTGTATCTTCCCTGAGGTAACACTGTGTGGTCTGGAACAGTGACCCTGCGTGCTTCTTGCTGGCTACTTGCTTCCACTTACTTTTTGACCATCAAGGTGATGGCATGATGCTCTGCTGAAACATCAGTGAACTTAACATGGGATCATTGCAGGAGATGATACTTTTGGTAGTCAACAACTGTGGGAACCTCCAATCCAGCATATTTGTTATTTCTTAATAGAGCTTATATCGACATTATGTTGGTATCCTTGCAGTAACATATTTACTGCAACTCTGTCGCAATGAGACATCCGGATCACAACAACACGTTTTCTTCCATGACAGAAAGTTAAACAAGTAAATGCCAGTAGACCATTCCATTAGGTTGCAGCTACAGATATCTTCTTGTAAAACTAGTAACTTCACATTGTGATAAATAATTGTTTACATGTATCTTGTTTGTATTCATTGCATAAAAAAAGTAAAAAAAAAAAAAAACAGTTGTAGCCTGTGTTGATATACAGTGTATAATATTATGTACAGATCCTTTCACAATGAGCCAGTTCATACACAGCAAATTCAATTTAGCTTCTCGTACAACAAGATTCACATTCGGCAAGAAGATATATCCTACTTTGCTCAGTACATGGTTTGTTTCCATTGCCAATAGCATAGGATATAGCAGATCAAAGAATGAATAACTATTGATGTAAGAAACTGCTTCCAGATATATTTAAAAATGGAAATTATGAGTGAGGGTTAAAACCGCATCCAAAAACTCTAATGCAACGCTTGCACATCTCGTTAACAGCCATGGCTACCATACTCACTGGTAAGAATACTGGATACATTTAATTTCTTTTTTTTTTGTCTACAAAGTACGCAGTAGGAAACAGGAAAATTACATTTTCACTTGCACTAAGTTCTCATACTGCACACACATTTTGGCACGTGTGTAACAACTCTAGAACTACATGATGGATTTTCTTGAAATTTAGTACCGAGTTATACTAAAATTTGCCAACCAATTCAGGTTAAAGTTCTACAATAACAGATAATTTTCAGTGGAGCCTACATGAGTTTCTGTGCATATCTCGAGTAGAACTTTGTTAAATATGGATTGGAATGAAAACATTTTGTACAAAGTTTTTAGCAAAAAATTAAATGTGTCTTATATTCAACACACATTTTCTATAAGTGGTAATCCAGTAAGGAGAAAAGGTTCAATAATTGTTATATTATGCCAGCTTTTCCAAATTTGTATGTTCATTGTAAACATTGATCTTTCAAACTCATGCCAGAATTACTGGAAGTCAATAGGTAATTCAAGCTTCTTCAGCTGTATTTAGTTACAACATAATTCAACATGCTTCTACAGCTATTACATTTGTACCTATGTTACATGTCCCAGGGCTGTCAGACGGTAAAATTTGGTCATCAGTCCTGAGGAACTTAGAATCAAGAATCACCGTGCTGGCCAAGACCATCAACAATGTAGAAGTCAGTTGAACCTCTTCACATATTTAACAGAGGTGACAGTTTGCAGATGGCATCCCTATAGTCAGTGTATTCCTTTCTATTAGCAATGAAACTGAAGGAATGCACCTGTCAGCTTCGACATGTTTCTCTGTCCATATGTAACAAGTCGAGAATCACGAAATGGATTTTACTTCAGTTTCTCTATACGTTTTGATTCAGTTAAGATCGGACAACAATAACGGACACTACATGCAGACCATGTGGTTCTGTGCACATCTCAAGCACAACTTGGTAATATGGAAGCAAAAAATGTATTGGACAGAAGTTGTAGAGAAAAATGGAACAAATTTTATATCTAATTCCTTTTTATAGTATATCTTTGGGTTTTCAAGATATTTAAAGGGTATTTTTAAAATCTGGATACAGCAGCAGTGAATGCGCCAAGCGTTGTTAATTCATGCAACATAACCTAACTTGTAATATATATTAGACCAGCATTCTGAGTTTGTCTAAAACATCTTTGAGGCTGTGTCATCATATGACACTAACGTAGATAGTTCATCATCATTAGAGAGGTACTATATCTTTCCCCCCCCCACTTTCAGTCTCACAGTATAATTCTAGGGTAAGTGTACAGTTTCTAAGATAAATAAATTAAACATGAAATAATAAAAATTGCAGTAATAAGAAGAAGAATAATTAACCAACACTGGTCTAATTTTAACTAGTTAAGATTATCTTACAGCTATTTTAAATTCATTATAAAAACAAATTTTAAGCAGATTTTCATATTTTAAGGCAAAATTTGCAAACTTAAAAGACATTTGTATCCCAAATAACGTGTACCCTTCAGAACACTAGGACAAAGGTTTATATAATGTTATGAGTTTTTGTTTAAGTCTGTGACTATAAACCTACATTGTAAACATTGCCCAATTGAAGGGGAACAGCAGAGACATTTTAGAGTGGCTGTATAAGTACTACCTGACGATGGTAAAAATAGTGGCTGAAACATGTCATAATTGTAGAAACTGTATAGTTATCTCACAATTATAGATATATTGTAAGAGTGGAAGTGAATAAAATATTCTACACACAATATGACTCTGAAATATAATATTACTATTACTGTATCTTGGACCAGGCCATAGCTCAAGCGGTTAGTCGCTGGCTTCCCACCGCGGCGGCCCAGGTTCAATCCCGGGTCTGGTGAAGTGGGATTTGTGGTGGACAGAGTGGCGCTGGGGCAGGTTTTCTCCGAGTACGTCGGTTTCCCCTGCCAATCATCATTCCACCAATTGCTCCATAATCACCCTCACCTATCATCTGGGGCTGGTACAATAGGCCAGAAGTGGCCGCAGTACAAGGGACTTAGTCCCACCCCACTAGCAATAAAAAAAATGACTATCTTATTTTGCTGTTCACAGTGGCCACGCGGTCTAAGGCATGAAACTGTCTTCACTTGCCCAAATGCTGGGATTGTGGGTTCGAATCCCACTCAAGGCATGGATGTCTGTGTGCATTTATTCTGTATTTGTGTTGTTCTGTGTGTAGGTAGCGGCCTTCTGATGGGCTGATCCCCTGTCCAAGGAGTCCTATCGACTATGTATAGGATTGAGAAACTGAAAGATCTGTCAAGGTCCAGCAGAAAGAGTGTAGAGCCGTAGAGAGGTAGGTAGGTGGTTGGGTATGTATGTATGTTATTGTCAACATGCAGTAGGAACCAGTGCCACCATACTGGAGATCTTGTTGAACACAGGACTTTTGTTTCATAACATTGCCTATTTAATGTGTGATGTACCCTCAGAGATGTTCCAAGACAGAGTATGCAAATCAGAATAAATATTTCAAACAATTTGTAATGTAGAGCGCAAATACTATATTTCATCAAAATACATACGAGTAGAGTAGTTTGAGAGCTGAAAAATGCAGATTGACAGATATAGCATTTCCATTATGCATTTATTTTATTCACTCTGCAAGTAAAACAAGTGCCCTGTCTGACAGCAGCCTTCGGTTTTATGAGCGAAGATATTTTTTGGAGGACCTATCAAGTTGTTGCCGTAGTCATGGTTATGCCATGGGTATGTTTGCAGTAAGGTCATTAATCAATCACCATTTATAGATGGTATACAAGTGAAGTCTGAATTTTATACAGAACTTCCAGGCTTGGAACATACATTTAAAACAATTTTGTTTCATACATAAATATTATAGCTTTTGCTTTTCTGTTCCCTCCTGCTGACAATTGAATAACATTTTAATCCATCCTCAATTAAATGCTTTGGAATAACATCTGAAGGAAAGCTGACCTTCTAATCAGCCCTGACCTCCAGAATGTAAACTGAATTGAAAGGTCATAAATCAGGTTTGGGTTTATCTGAAGTGAATATTTGTTCCAAGGGTCAGCCAGGAATGACGTGAATGCTGTTTTCATTAAATGTGTTGTAAATAAAACTAACTTGTTGCATGTGGACACAGTATTGAATTAACAGCCGAAACTGGTTTGCGCTGGACACACGGTGAGTGTGATACATGTAGTGTTTGCAAATTGTCTTATATCTGTATTTAGGAACCAGGCTAATGAAAATCAATTTTCTTAATTTTATTAGCTTAGTCAGTATTAACAACTAGCCTGCGGGCTGAACAACCGAAGGATCAAAGTTGTGTTCCCATGTGACAGCAGATAATTTTCTCTTTGCTGTCACATGTATCAAATGCATATCAAGGGCCCTTTCCCCAGTCATAAAATGGCCGGAGCATGAAGGCGACCACTCACATCCATCTAGTGTCAAAGTTAAGATTACATGGAGCAAACCTCCACTCCCACATGGACCTACATGGTGTGTGTTTGCTTAATTAAACACAGGGGATTTTACCTGAAGTTATTGCCTTTTTGATGTAATAGTAATACTGCTGTTGCTACTGCTATTACTACTACTACTACTACTACTACTAAGAAGAAGAAGAAGAAGAAGCCAAATGTGGCTTACACTATGAACATTTCACTTCTGTTTAAGTAACTGGTAGCATAGTTGGTATAGCAGTTGGCTACAGGTTGGACAACAGAGGGGTTGGATTTGAAGTCCTGGTAGATTCAAGAAATTTGTCTTCTCCATATCACCCAGGCCTGTTCTGGGGCCCACCCAGCCTCCTGTTGAATGGCTACCGGGAGCTCTCTCCTTGGGGGTCAAGCAGCAGAGGCGTGAAGCTGACCACTCACCTCCAGTTAGTGCCAAATTCAAGAAAATGTGGATCCATACATCCACTCCCTATATGCCTTCATGGCATAGTGCTTAATTAGCTAAGCACAGGGACAGCTTTGCCTTACCTTACCTACTGCTAGCAGTATAATGGGATTTGACACTGTGTCTGGTAGATAGGTACCAAGGTTTCAAAGCATCCTGCTGCCTACATCTTCAGGGTAATGTTGATCTGAGCTGGGAAAATGGCCCACAATAAGGAGAGAGGGGAAATGGCACCATGGTTATGAGCTAACTAATGGGAATCAATGACCCTTAGGTTGGCCGTTTTCTAAATTGGGAAAAAGGAAGAAGCAGATTCCAAAGAAAGGCATGGCTAACCATCCACCAGATTACAGTTTTACATGTCACAAGACCATAACCATAATAGAAACTGATGTATGTACTTAAGATCTCATACATTTTTAGTGTAATATAAATTATAAGGGGTTACAAAGGTAAGAAAATATACATGAAGAATTTTGACTGAGAAACTTAAAAAGGAAAAAGAGCACACTTCAAAGACATAGGTGCAAATAGTGGAGTATCATTTGTGAACATGCGATGAAGGTTCTGAAATTACACAGTTTTGACTACCATAACAATTAATTGTCTAGCATTAATGCATTTCATGAACATAAGCTATGTACTAGCAATGAGCAAGAGAGCAGTCTTTTGTTTCGGTGTATTATGTCTATTCTGTGAGCACTGCTAATAATTTGATGTGGTTATGCTTAGTGTATTTAGTTGCCTTATTATATCATCCACTGTTTTATCATATTTAAAGGATTTATTATGTTATTTTTCTATGGTTTTTTATATTATTAGTCATTTGATGTGATGTTTAATCTCATATTTATTTTTTTTTAACTGACTTGTCCAATTGTACATAATGTAACAGTTATGGATGTTAAATAAATAAATAAATCAATCAATCAATCAAAAATAGTATTTATCATGGAATCTGACTTACTTAATGAAGATTTAAAATGTTTCTTTCCTTTTTGAAACAACACATTGATATATGGCCATATACCAATTTTGTCTATCAAGACTGTTAAGAACTACTTTACTGATAAAACATCTTACTTTCTGAGTTTTAGATTACTTTATTAACATGATTTAAAGAATATATTACAGATTTACTCATTCCTGACATTTCCTTAATTAGTGACACTATGCCTCAAAGTTATTTTTAAAAAAAAGATGTAGCCTAAATATGCATGAATCACATCTCCCTTTATTATAACAAACCTCTAAACTTTCCTGTTTTGTCTAAATAATTCCATTCTAATTTATATTTATACTTCTAATAATGAAGAAACCCTTCTGGAGTTAGATAACCTATAAGATATATGATTCCTGAAGTAATATTTTCAGTTTACTGTTGATTTCTGTAATTGGCTTCCTAAATGATTACTTTCTGTTTCAGTCTTGGAGAAGTATAAGGGAAAGATCTTCCACAATGTTCCGTTGGGCAGCTAGTAAGGTGATCTTCAGTAATTCCTGATTTTATTAAATTCCCTGCTACTCTTTGCATCAGTGTAAAGACTGGTATTATCAGATTGTTGTAAATTAATCAGTGCATGGATTCCACCTGGAAATTTCAAAGGGGTGTAAGCCATACCCCCACATAAACTCAAGTTTTAGGGATTTAAAATTATTTTTGATACCTTTAGATTATTCAGGGTTGAACATTATATTGTGTTAAGAAATGGTTTAAATTCTTCATAGTAATAGTTGGTATACGAGTATTTTCTTTTTTTCTTTCAATTTTGATTTATTTGCAGAATTCCCCAGGGAATGGGGGTTGTCAGATGTCTGGCTTTTACACACATGCGCACACATACGTGCTAGAATATATATTGTCCCAGTATTGGATGAGTTCATTTCCTTACAATTCCGATACTTGTATTAATGTCATTAAGGTCAACAATGTACATCTTCAGTGTACTACCCATTCTAATTATATGTATACATTACTCCTGGGCAACAGCAAGTAGATTATCTAGTTTGGTGGAACCTCGGTGATCCGAACCCACATCATTGCAAATTCCCAATAATCCAAACTGACCTAGAGTACCAGCAGAAAATAAAATTCATCACCTCCAAAAATTACAAATTTAATTTAATTATTTTACTTCTTTGGAGTAAAATTAATTTGTATGAAATATGTATATATATATATATATATATATATATATATATCAGCAGCATTACTGCTCAGTTTTGTTTTATACAAATACAGTGAAAACTCAACACTGATTTTGATCTTAGCCAGAATATCAGCCATCCTGATTGTTACTTTGTCTTTATCAGTCATCCCAATTGACTTTATGTTTCAAATAGGCCATGACCACTTCCATCCAGTGCTTTCCATTTCACCATAGATGATCATTGTCTCAAATGCTGTAGTTAGATATCCTATGAACCAGGTGACTGACAACTTAAAAAGAAACCAAATATAAACATTTTGGAGTTTAGACTGCCTAACCCTTTCAGCGTTGTGACACAAATGTCTGTGCCTTTTCTAAACACTCATGACATGCCATGGCACAATCATGCTCATGTGATGTTTTACATTTCCATTGTAGCCGTTGTAAAGACAAGTGGTAGCAACCCAGAACTAATGCCATCTTTTGGATAACTCTTAGAACTACTTGAAATGAAGTATCACCAAATCCATTCAGAAAACATACAGTTAATCTCGTTTTTAATGTTGTTGAAATGTCTGATCTGATGGATCATAAATACTCGACTTCATAAGAAGTTATGAACACCTGACTTTTATAAACTAAAATTTGATCTCAACTGTAATTCATTAACGTGGTTATTGTTAATTTTTTAGGCTTGGTCAGTCCATGTGGAAAAGGCTAGTAAGAAGATCCCCAGAATGGATCACCGTGCTTTGTCCAGTGAGCAGCAGTCAGAAGAAATGGCCCCAATCATAGCGGCAGAGGCTCCACATGTTGAGCCACCTTCTCAGGTTCCAGAAAGTGCCGATGTAGTCATTATGGGTAAGACACACTCAAGGTGCCTAACAGCCAAGCCATTTCTATCCACACACGAGGTTATTATATTGTGGCATGCAGACCTGTTGCAAGGCAACAACCATGAAACAAACAACTAGGCAGCATCCCGTCGTCAACAACAAGGGAACAGTGTTTTGTGTGCAGCCCATGCTGAGATGTTATGAGCATGACAGTTAGTAAGTGAGAGTTGAGTTGAATTGAGTCAAGCCTAGCTGAGCCAAGTCAAAGAAGATTGGGAAAATTTAAGACATCATAGAGCAAATTACTGTGCCTTGACCTATCAGGGCTTCATAGAGATGACTCATAGGTTTATATTGTGATCCTGGAAGGGTGAATATTAATACTTTGAATGTTGTGTTTGTTAGGTGGAGGAACTGCAGGATGCCATACATTGTACCAATTAGTAAAACGAGGAGTTAAAGCAGTGCTCTTGGAGCGTGGAAAAATTTCTTCTGGTACAACTTGGCAATCGGCTGGTATTGTTTGGAGGTTACGACCTGATGATGTTTTAACTCAGCTTCTGAACTCAACACGAGACTTGCTGATGCAACTTGAAGCAGAGACAGGCATTGATCCGGGCTGGGTCAACAACGGTGGCCTCTTCATAGCCAGCACCAAGGTATGAGTTCCACAAACAATGCAGAAATACGGCACATACAAGTAACTAACCATACAATGAATGAGAAATTTAGTTGGACAGCCTGCTTCCAGTGCAGATATTCAAGGTGTTTTCCATAAGTGATGTTACATGTCTGGTAATACAAGCACAAATCCTTAGATATCTGCGAAATAAAATTTATATTCTACACCATTATTTTAGTTTGATAGATCAGTCAGAATAGTGATGGCCTACGGGCTGGACAGCTGAGGCTTGATTCCCAGAACAGCCAAGAGATTTTTCTCCACTCCACAGTGTCCAGGGGCCCACATAGCCTGCTATCCAATGGTTACTGGGGCTCTTACCCCAGTGGTAAAGCAGCTGACCACTCACTTGCATCCAGTGCTGAGGTCAAGAATGATAGAGCTATGCCTCTGGTCCTCCATATGTTTGCATGGTGCTTAATTAATTAAGCACAGGGATTAATTTACTTTCCTTTTACCCATGAGAATTAATCTACCTTTGATAACTCCCCCTCACCTCCCCCTGCCTCCTCCTCCTCCTCCTTCTTCTTCTTCTTCTTCTTCTTCTTCTTCTGTTGCTTCCACTTGGAGCATAAGCATCCATGAAACATTAATTTTATTAGATATACTGGAAGCTAGTAAATAAGCTACACTAAATGAACACCATCATAGGTCATTCCTCGAGGACTTAACATATTGCAGTCTGGTATGTCCTTTTAATTAAATGCTACAGTTCCTGTATGTACATATACATGCACACATACACACACACACACACAAATTATATCCGGAAAGTAAAGAGACAAAGTCCAGAAAATATTTGTAAAATCTTTTTTTTATTCATTTTTGGCACGTTTGCAACACACCTTTATTTACGTTTCAACATAGTCACCATGGATTGCAGTACACTTAGTGAGCCTTGGAACAAGTTTTTTATTCCAGCATTGTAGGAATCTCCCACCTGCTCCCTTAGCAGTGGAAAACAGTTCTTGACATTTTGAGACATTCCTGATAATTTTCACTGATTGGTAAACGTCTGTCAGCATGAATGTCTTCATCAATTTCTTTAATGATTTCATCAGTGACAACGGATGGCCTTCATCATGAACATGACTTCTTCCTGCTTCAAATTCACGATACCCTTTTGCCATGATTTTCCTGTTCATAACGTCTTCGCCGCAAACATAAACAAGTTGGCAGTGAATTTCAGCAGCAGTTTCCCCTTTCATGTGAAGAAATGGAATTGCTGCTCGAAACTCACATTTGGCGGGATTTTGAATCAACACGGCCATTTTAAACACACACTGCGAGCACAACGTTGCCGCAACTATGGCCGGTGAACTGGGCCCTGTCACACGGTTCCTATCTCACATGGCAGCACTGCCATTTCTGAAAAAGGAAATCCCTTGCATTTTTACTGGACTTGTATCTTTACTTTCCAGATACATCTTGTACATTGAAGACCCTGAGGCAGGGAGCAACTTAAGTTACATTTTAAAGTTTCAAATGATGCCTTGGAGCTGAAGTGTGTGAAAATTGCACATACAGATCTCAGTTGTGTTTCACAGAAAGGAATCTCTCAAAGTGAGAGTCTTTATGCAGTGAATATGGCAAAATTTTCAACTTTATTATATCTTACTGCACTTTTCTGTATGCAGTACAAGTCCTGCACCACCTTGCTGGGTACAGCTTACTTTTCTGGACTGGATGCAACTGTTTTTTGTTCCTTCATTTTATGTTTGTTGAAGGTCCCTCACTTCTGCTTGGGGAGTTCTGTGTGGGTCGTTGTGGGTTGGTTCCTGTGCTTGACATCAAGCATCATCTGAGCTGGACCCAGTTGCATCATGTGTCCCAGATTTTGTGTTCTTCTTTCCCCAGTTTGCACAGTTTTGGCTTATGACTGCCAGTTAAAGAAGGAAAAGAAGAGAGGTTAGATATTTCTTGATGAAATTTCTTTCTGCAGACAATCATTGCCAAAAAAAACATTTCTCTTAGATAGCAACAGTGCTTGGTGTATATTGTTATTCTATCAAGTTTGGTAAAAAAGGTAAAGTTGTCCCTGTGCTTAACTAATTAAGCGCTATGCCATGAAGTCATATGGGGGAGCGGATGTATAGATGAACATTTTCTTAACCTCAGAACTAGTTGCAGGTGAGTGGTCAGCTTCATGACCCGGCCACTTTGCCCTCAAGGAAAGAGTCCCCAGTACCCATTGGATAGAAGGTTGGGTATGCACAAGAGCCGGTCTGGACCACATGGAAAAAAGAAAATTCTTGACCCAGCCAAGGCTCAAATGCTGACCCCTCTGCTGTCCACCCCATAGCCAGTCGCTCTACTGGCTGTGCTCTCCTGACTCCCATCAAGTCTGGTATCTTGATATAAATGTCCAGAAGTTTTCAAAGTTGTAGAGGTTAAATATTTTTGTTAAGTTTGTTTTTAATGCTTTATTGTCTTCATGTTAATACTTTTTAGGAGAGGCTAGATGAGTATCGACGCTTGGTTACCATGGGTGTTAGTTTTGGCATTGAATCATCTATATTGGATCCTGAAGAGACAAAGCAGGTCTTTCCATTGATTGATGCAGATGTTATCCAAGGCAGTTTGTACTCGCCAGGTGATGGTGTTGTAGACCCATGTAAACTTTCTACAGCACTCACACAGTCTGCTATCAAGGGTGGAGGACAGGCAAGTTCATGCAGATTCTAAATGCTTATGACGATGGTGTATAATACACAGAATTACTGGGTTTTCAGACTTTGTCCATATTATTGACCTGATAAACTCAAGTTCATGATTCTCTAAAAGTTTGTTACAATAGTTGATTTGTTACGCAAATATTATATGGAGATTATCTGTTGTCTGTTGTATATTTGTATATTTGATTTCCATAACGTTTCTGTTATCAGGTGTAAGGGGGAAGATTCCGCTGCTCATTTGGGTCTGTTAGAAAGAGATAGTCTTGATCAGTAGTCATGGTGTATAAGAGGTACACTTCAGATAATGAAGAATGTATTCCTTGAGAAGTTAAAGTTACTGAGCAGGTCAAGAAGTTTTATAGAACCCAAAATTGATTACTATGATGCCAGAAGCTACTGGATCACACATTCCTCTTAATACAGATTGTGCACAGAGTACGTTCAGTGTTTCAAAGTATATTGTCACATAGTGTGTGTGACTGTAGACCAGGTTTGGATTGGTGAATTGATTTATTGGCATGTTTATTATACACACAACTTGGAACTACAAGTAATTACAGCGCCATCACTAATCTCCACAATTTGCAAATCCCCACAGCACACACTAAGCCTTTTCCAGCCTGCTATGTCTTCACCAGTTTCTGACAGTGGAGCTTTTTTCAGCTTCATGCACTGTGGTACTCTGTTCACAGCCTTCCATGCAGAACTCAAGTGAACTCATTGTGTCAACTGCCCTGGTTATGTCATTTCAGCATGGACAACATAGAAAACACCACATTTTGAACAGTAACTCTGTTGTTGTTGCATGCATATTCGTTGCCGCAGGAACATGTTTATTGGGCCATTGCCCAGAAACAGTTGCTGTTTGCCAAGTCACTGCTTTGCAGTGGGTCTGTAAGCCATAATATATTTCCAAAGCCATGACACATAATTAAATGAAATGCAAAGGAAAATGATGACACATAATTATAATTTGTATTAATAATGTTTCATATGCTTACTAGTTGTTATGTCACAGCTACTGTCACGTGGTAGTGACTAGACACGTGGTTCAGATAAATAATTTGATTTATTGTATACTGATTCCTCTTATTAATAAATAATTGCATTGTATATGTATGCAGTATGGTTTCATGATCTGTTATGTCACTCTTGCTTGTTGGCTCTGTTATCACAGACACATTGCTAGACTTCGTGTCCTGGTAACAAAGACTCTTCTGTCATGTCTTGGACTCTCTTTATATTTCTCTATAGTAGACTGATTAGAAGACGGCTGCCCTTACAGTTCCTCCTCCATTCTGTCTCTCTGTCGCTGTCGAAGATTGCATACATATGTGGTTACTAGCGATCATTGCTTGACATTATCTTGTAACAGATGTCTCTGCGGCATTTCTCTGATCCCAGTAATCTGACTTCCAGGTGTCATGTCACAGTGTTATGGTGTCAGTAGGTACTATAAGCTGTGTTTCCGTAACCTGTGTTTTTATATACCCTCAAAAAGAAAAGTCAGGGGATATTAGATTCACGGATGTCTGGAACATGTCTGCCTGTCCTCATGCAAAAACCTTTCATTTAGAGCAGCTGTACACAGTTACTTAAAAGTAAATAGTGCACAGCACTGTTGGAAAACTTCAACTTCTCCTCTTCCAGTTGCTGAAAAGCAAAATGTTCTACCATTTCAAGGTTTATGGTAGTCTCAGAAGAAAAGGTGGATGTGTGTCATACAGGACAAAATGTTGAATTATGTGTCATTTTATAAGGGGAGCTTGTGTGGAAGTTCATTGAAGTTAATTCTAAGTGTGTGTTGTCATTTTAACTTCTGTCTAATTTAGTTATGTACCATGGTTATGAAAGTATAACACTTTGAAACACCAATGTATTTTTTGAACACATATTCTCCTTTTACCTATGCCTTTGTTTCCCAAATTGGTTTTTTCCCTTTAAGTTTTCCAATCAGAATTTTCTATTCATTTCTTCTATTCTCCCCATACATGTTACTGGCCGATGTATGTTATTACCTCTAATTTAATCATTCTTATAACAATATATGCACATGTTTCATGAATTTTTGTCAATAATGAAATATTCAGATATTTGCGTTGATCGTTCACCGTCTTATGTGCAACACTTATCACCTTTACAAGTTCAAAAGTTTGTTTAATGTGTTAAAATACACTACATGTTTTGGCCAACATGGCATCATTAGGTGTTAAGAATATGCCTAATGCATCAGAGGGACCTACATATGCATCAGCAACAAGTGAAAGCAGCAGTTTCCTCATTAGACATATTCTTAACACCTGATGATTGCCATGTTTGTCAATACATGTAGCATATTTTAAAACTTTAAAAAACTCTTAAACTTGTAAATTGAGGGACACGTGGTAGCGTAGTTAGTTGAGGCACTATGCTACAAGCAGGAAGGTCGCGGGTTCAAGTCCCAATAAGATCAATGGATTTTTATCAATTCACTAATCCTTCCAGCTGCACTATGGCCCTGGGGTCGATTCAGCCTCTAACAGAAAGGAGTACGAGGAATTAATTAATTTTTCCTGGGAGTAAAGCGCAGCTGCCGCATAAGGCTGACAACCTTACTACCATCTTTGAGCCAATTGTCTAGATAATGGACAACAATATGTACCTTCACGGCCTGTTACAGGGATAGCTTTACTTTTACTTTTTACTTGTAAAAGTGATAAGTGTTGCATATAAGATGGTGAATGACTGATGCAAGTGAAAAGTGCAACAGGATGCTACAATACAATATTATATTCAGATATGTAATACCATGGAATAAAAATAAAAATGGAAGGGTTGCCATCAGACTTTTTTTAAGTTATCTATTCACAACATATTCAACCCAGACAGGCCACTGTCAAGCGATTCTTGAGGCAACCACTCCCCAATATAATTAGCTTCATGTGTTTGTGTAATATATGGTGCTTCTCCATTGGGCGATTTTTTAGGTGTTAGAGCATTGTCCAGTTACCAGCATTTTAACAGGAAAGAACGGCTTTGGATCACGGCAGATCACAGGAGTCGTAACTCCACTTGGTTCCATAAAGACCAATTGTGTTGTCAATTGTTGTGGTAAGTTACCTACACTAACTCTCTGATGCATGAAGTTAATCTAAAAATTAAAAGTTTAATTCAGACCTCACAAAAAAACACCCTGTATCTCCATTACAAAAGCCAGCCTGTTACTGTTATTTAGGGAAATAGTTGCTTTTTAGTCTTAGAATCATACAAAACCCATAAATAATCTCTGTGGATGAAATGGATGTTGGGGCAGGTGGACTGAATTGTAACTGCTCTGTTTCAGAGGGTTGAACATCATATCTGAATAAAAGAGGACACGTGATGGACAAATAACTTTTAAAATCAAAGGCTTGTGGATGTATAGAGCAATGGGAATACAAAAACTGGAATATTTATTTAGAACATGTTTCTTTGTGGCCAGAATTGAAGGTCTTTATTCTGAAGCAAGGGTATCTTGTTTCTTTGTTCTGAGAATGGACTTTATGTTAGCAACTCTGTATAATTGAGAACAATGCCTCTGTTGCCTCTTCAGAATGCACCCAACCAATATCTGAATGAGGATTCTATATAAGATTTGAGGGTATCATATTGGTGATGTTCAGAGTATGACCAGATTGTTACATTACGTTGTTTTGTACCTGGATTTCAGTGTTACAGAAGAACTTGCTGCCTTTATCTTGAACCACAATTCAACCCTGAAAATGGAGGCAGCTTGTTCTTTTAAAATGTTGGCAAACACCAATACTATATGGTGTTGTCAAGTGTTTCGAGTGTGATTGTAGACGGGTTTTGGGCTGGTAATTCAATTTAGGGGACTCTTTGATACGGCACGTGACTACACTATACACTATTACACAAACATGCACACACACGCACGCACGCACGCACACTAGTGTTCACAGTCACTTCTTACTTAACTAGCTATTGCTTGGTAGTGGCTTCCAATGGTGGACATTCCCCTTCCTGTGGGTTCCATAACTGTCCTGTGCCTCAGCTGCCAGCTTCTCACAGCAGAAGCTCACAAAGACTGAACCACAGAAGTCTTCTAATTCACTCACCAACCAACTTGCTCCACTACACTGACTAACTCTTACTAATTGCCCTGCTTGTAACTTCTCAGCATGGACCGCAGAGGGAACATCATTCCTGCTGTTTCACTGTTACTTAGCGGTCCTTGCAGAAAACACCATTACTGTTCGTAGACTGCTGCCTAGGAATGGCCAAGGCATCGTCACTGCCTAGCAGCAGGCCTGCATGCCACAATATCATAGAAGTTTACTCTTTTCCATATCTTTTCAATATGTTTAACCGATATTGAGAAAAAGTAGATAAAACATAGAGCATCAGTTCACTAATGATCATAACTATCAGTACTTATCAGTTGTTAAAACCACTTAATGGTTCATTACTGTCATTACTAATGATTTACTAAACTTATTTCTAAATTTAACTTTTATTTGGATGTTCCAGGGGTGTGGGCACGTGAAATGGCTGCTATGGTTGGGCTTCATCTCCCATTGGTTCCTATGAAACATGCTTATGTCGTAACTGAGAATATCCCTGAAGTTCAAGGGCTTCCAAACATACGAGATCATGATGCTTCCATCTATTTCCGTGTCCAGGAGCAATCGCTTTGCATGGGCGGTTATGAAACAAATCCAATTCTGTTGGAGAAGGTATGGAGTATTTATACGAGGGGTTCTGTTGGTCTTTGGGTAAAAATAAAGGAAAAGTTGTCCCTGTGCTCTACTAATTAAGCACTACGCCATGAAAGCATATGGGGCGTGGATGTGTAGATCCACATTTTCTTCGGTTGGAGGTGAGTGATCAGCTTCACGATCCAACTGCTCTTCCCCAAAGTGAAAGAGCCCCTGGTGTCCATTGGATAGGAGGTTGGGTGGACCCCAGCACTGGTGTGAATGAAGTGGAGAAGAGAAAATTCTTGACCCTATGGGGACATGAACTCCGACCCCTCAGGCATCCAGCCTGTAGCCAGTCACTATACTGACTATGCTATCTTGGGTAAGACACTCCACACTGACATGGTTGATCCCCTGAGGGGACTATTGCATGAATATTGTTATCCTGAAAGTGGCATTCTGGTAGACCATACAGTTCATGAATAAAATGATGCTACTTACTCAAGATTGCTGTCTTCTGATACATGATGGCATATAGTTTGGTGCAAGATAGTAACGTTCCAAAGGAACCTGTTGCCTCCATCTTTTACCCTGAAGATGGGCACTTCAGATTCCTCCAAAATGTTAGTTTATGGATGGTATCCATCAGCATAATTGCAAGGCTTCACATATAAGAAAACTTTGATCTAAGAGTGCTGAGTTTGACTTTTTCCAGGTTCCACATGACTTTCAGTTCAGTCTGTACGAGTTGGACTGGATAGTGTTCAGCAGGCATATGCGTGGAGCCGTGAATCTGATCCCCGTGTTCGAAACTGCAGGCATCAAGGGAACAGTGTGTGGCCCAGAAAGCTTCACACCAGACCACAAACCTCTTCTTGGTCAGTGCACGGTGATACTCTGAGACACACAGAAAATCTGGGTTACCGAAATAGCTTCAAGTGAGATCTAAAGCTGCAGAGATCTGTTTCCTGAGATACAGCACCATGTAGTCTGGTGGAAGTATGCTGACCGTTTGGAGGAATCTATTGTCCTGATCTTCAGGATTGAAGGGTCAGCCCAAAGCAAGCATCAAGCAGAGCTGCTTACTATTGTCTTTATGTTGGTTTCTTGCTTGGCTTACTCTTCGACATCAAAGATATTGTCACATGTTGGGTATGTCACGTGACAAATAATTTCATGCTGTATTGAATATAACGAATTTATTCCACTCGCTCTCACAATTGCACAATTTACAATCTCACAATTACTGCCATTGACAGTATCACAAATACTTCTCCTGTTTCCATTCACTCCGGTGAATGCTAGACAGCAACTGGCTGGTTATTCTCTCTAGTAACTGGCTCAATACACACTACTCACTACCCTAGTAGCTTCCACACTGACAACACAGAAAACAGTTACGCAATAGCTGCCACTGTTGCATAACATCGTATTTACAGGCGTTGCTGGGGAACGCTGCCGAGAGTTGTTTATTGCTGCGTAGTATCCACGGTGTCCCCTGTTACGTCACTGTGGAAAGTGCTGTTACGTCACCACGGGAGGCGACTGAGTGTTTACCGAGCGTTGCGTAATAATGGAAGGGGTGGTAGTATGTGACGTCACTTGCGAGACCGCAGAGTTCACGTGACCCCTACTTCCCATTTCACCATCCACGTCACACTGCTCCCTTCTAAAGGTCAATATTGTGACATAAAGACCCACTGCTAGACTCAATAAACACATTCCAACAGAGACAGATTCTTGGTATAGTGCCTGTTGCTGGGTAATGCATACAACAATACACAACAAGAATGAAAGACACTTTCTATATGTTCTCTGCCATGCCCAGTGCTGGGTAACAGACCAATGAACACGCATTCTGACATGTGACACAAGGCAATATAACACAGAATTCCAGTTGAGCAGTTAGTCAGAGTACAAGAATGTCAGTTGTCAGTAGGAGATAGCCACGGGAAGTTAGTAGCTGAAATAGAATTAGAAGTCGGCCTGTGAAGACTTAGTGCATGATCAGAAGATTTCATCACACTGAGACTGTTTTAATTCCATTGCCAGGAGGTGACTAGTGAAGGCTGAGAACCCTAGTGTATGTGTAATGGTAAATTGTAACTTGTGTAAATCAGTGAAAGCAGTGTTTTTATTAGTCACAGAACCCTGGACACGTGAAAGTATTGTTGCTACAAACTATCAACAGGCTTTCACCAGACTGCATGGTGTTATATCTCAGAAGACAGAAATCTTCAAGACAAGATTCAGAGTCATCAGGCCTGTTAAGTTGCCTCTCAGGTCAGATCTAAAGCTGCAAAACTCAAGAAACATATTTCATTTCTGAGTGAAACCTCAAGTGTGAAACCCTGTCAGCGCTTCCATTCCAGTTCCATAATATATTTCTTGTACCTGCAGGTGAAGACCCCAGGTTGCATGGCCTATATCACAGCTGTGGTTACAATGCTGCTGGAACTATGCTAGGAGGTGGATGTGGCGATCAACTGGCCCAGTGGATTGTAAATGGGCGTCCCGATCTCCATATGTTTGATTATGATATAAGGTAATAATGCATAAGGTAAAAAAAAGGTGAAGTTGTCCCTGTGCTTAATTAATTGAGTGCTATGTCATAAAGATATATGGGGGAGTGGAGGTGTAGCTCCACTATTCTTGACCTCAGCACTAGATGGAGGTGAGTGGTCATCTTGACGCCCTGGCCACTTTAATTCCTGTGGAAATTGCCCCTTGTACTCATTGGATGGGAGTCTGGGTTGGTCCCAGACCTGGTCTGGATGATGTGGTGAAGAGAGAAGCCTTTCCCTCGATGGGAATCAAATTCTAGCTGTCCAACTCATAGCCCATCCCTATACTGACTGAACTATCCTGACTCCCAATGTAAGGTAGCATGAAATATTACTTAAATATACGAGAGTCGTGTTGCTGATGGATCCATTGAGTGTAGAATATGTATGAATGTAGATTATGAACTGGAAAATCTGCACACCCCCCCCCCCTGCAATAAATCGTGTACCACATTGTAATAGTGTCTGACAGCTTTGGGGTGTCTCCATTTACATCATGAGGAGTAGATTTGGTGAATGTAATGTCTGCATGTTCTATTTGGACACAGAAAATGCACCTGGCTTACAGATTGTGCATCGCTGAGTGAATAGTGGTCATGATATTCAGTGGTGACCTGCCCCACCATGTTGATCAGGGAAGAGTGGACCAAGTTAGGTTGTCATTTATAGTAACTTGTGTTGATTAATTTGTAACCTTACCAAGTTTTTGTGACTATTTTGGTTTGTCACAGTCAGGACTCAGTACCGCAGATGACTTAGACCCAAAGTTATCCCATTTTCCTTTGGATGTTTTCATGTTTCAGCGGTCTTAGTGGCCTGTTTTTGTAAGCAGTCCACATAGTTTTTGGTCTGGCCAGTTCCTTGGCATGCTACCATGGCAGAGCATTGGGCAAATTTTCTGTGTCTTCCTGTTCAGGTAGCTTGTATATTGTTACATGATTGAAGACTGATAGATCTGTGCTTGTCCTTTCAGGCGCTTCACACCAGAACAAAGAAGAGATGCTGCTTGGGTTTTTGCAAAAAGCCATGAGAGTTATGCAACAAATTATGACATCGTCTTCCCTCATGATGAACACCTGGCAGGAAGGAACTTTCACCAAGGTCCCTTTCATCAGGTATGTGTTATTACGTTACTGGAAATCTACATTTATGTCAGAGAAAGAATGTACAAGTTTGGTGAGAGTCCAAGCTAAATACTAGTTACCGCACATCTCTTCCATCAGATGGCCATAGTCATCTCCCTGCTGGAAGAGAAGCATTTTTATCATTGACTTTAGTAAAATATAAATATACAATATGTTTTATAGTTTAATTATTTAAATAATTGAAATGGTAATATTTATCAGTGTAAATTCATAACTGGCCACAAGAATGAAAATAGCAATTCATGGGAGTGTAGGAAAGCAAGCAAAAGAGTGGCAGGTGCTAGGCAGTTTGCGGGTAAAGTTCTGTGTTCAGTCTTTTCTGACCAATTTTTTGCAGTGGTAAGAACAACAGTAATGGTGACAACAACAACAATAATGTATAATTGACAATAATTGATGTATAATGAACAGAGTAAATAATTATTTAGTTGATCCTTAAATGCCTTACCTCCCAGCTATGTATCACGTAGGATTTGTGTGGTCAGACTTAGTGTAATTGAATAAAATGGTATATATATATATGTATCCAGGAACTGGTTGATGCTGGCTGTGTGTTTGAAGAAAGACAAGGATGGGAGAGGCCTGGCTGGTTCTCGCCCAAAGGACCAGCTCCTGTGCCACAGTATGACTGGTATGGTTCATATGGAACGCCACGCAACTCAGATGTCCGTTATGAAAATATGTTGAAAGCAGACCATACGTTCGATTTTTCAAAAAGTCACCAAGCGGTAAGTTACCAAACTTTCGGCTGTCCATGGCCTTCAGATATGGTCTCTGTTGACTTCTCTTCACTTTGCCCATCCAGGCAAGAACGTATAACCTGTATCTGAAGTGGTGACATCAATAGGGAGCCTTCTTTTGCCACAAGAAATAGGGTGATCATGAGAATAATTGTCAGCACACGGGACCTAGAGTTCAGAAAGTGTGGGTTTCTTCTCATTCCTGAAGTTTGATCCTTGGTAGTATTATGCTGTGTAGTCTGGTAAGTGGGTGGTACTATTTTGAAGGGACATAATTGCCTCAGTGTGGAATGGAATATGAAGGTATTGTGGGAATATCCCACATACGTACACGCTGTTTCGCCAGTATAACAGACAACACTCACTCCTAGGTCAATATCACATTGCCACACATTGCTGGCTATGCTCATACTTATACAGCACTCTAAGTCGAACCCACCTGTAGATCATCACGTGCACTAACCAATCACATTCAGAGTCAAAGTCAAAGTCATGTTACAACTGACGGTCAATCAGTGTGTCTGTCTTCGTGTTGAGCCCCAGCTGGGGATAATGACCAGATGTTTTCTTCTTTGTGAAAGATGCTGTCCTGTCCATTTGGGGTGCCCTCTCTGACGAGAGGTCGGGTCTGTTATTTGTCAGTCACTCTGTATTAATAAGTCCACTGTCTGTATTTACTTGATTTACAAATCCACACTTACTCCTTCTATGTACAATGTATACAAGGCCTATGTCAATCCAGGCATTGTACAGCAGATTATGTCCTATTTCTAGTAGTAATCACTATCACGGCGGTCTAGTCACTTGAACGGTCGTATGCCTGACCGCCGCCAAGTTTAAGCCCCTTATACTTTCTGTGGCTAGCTTCGCCTTGTCCAATGTTGCGAACATTCTCATTTTCATGACTTTCTATGACTTCTGCTTGTTGCCTGCATAATATTGTTATGTGATCATATACGTATGGGATTTGGAATGCCATGTGCAAATCGTGGACTGGAGTGCGCCTTGGAAAATTTCCAATGGTGCGGAGAACCTTTGTTTTGCAGGAAAAATGTGTCATCATGTTAACAAGAGTCCAGCAGCCCCACCATTTCTGATAAAATGAGTACCAGGAACTTTTCTAGTTCATTCAAAGCAAAATGTGCATAAGTATGCCTACTAGTTTACCATGTCTATCTGGCCCCATATAAAACCCAAGACCTACTTATCAGATTTTTCATGAAATTTGATACTGACTTTGCAGTCTCCTGGGTTGTCACACAATCTGGTTCATTAAGTCTGTACTAACATTTTTGAATGAACATAATGCTGTGGGATTGTCGATGTTCTAAATGACAGCCATGTAGAACTGTAACAATTGTATATATATAATTGTATAAATTGAAGGAACAGAATACCTGTGAAGCTATGTGGAATGTTCGAAAGTTGGCTGGCCCTCAAAAGGGCAGTTTGTTCCACCGTGAGTGCGCTGGCAGAATTTGCTCCTTCGTAGTAGGCCAAGTCTTATGGCCGTTCAGCTGGCCTGTCTGGCCTGTGATGTAGTTTTGCATGCACCGGTAGAAACAGTTGCCTACGGTGTGGTTGCAGGAGTTGCGGCAGCTGTGTTAGTTGCCTGGTTGCAGTGAAGGGCTGACGACTCTGATGACTGATCGCTCTGAACTGAATGTGATCACTGACCATTGCGTCAAAGTCAAAGTCATGTTGCAACTATGGTCAGTCAGTCTGTCTGTCTTGGTGTCGAGCCCCAGCTGGGGCTCATGACCAGATGTTTTCTTCTTTGTGAAAGTTGCTGTCCTGTCTATTGGGGGCGCCCTCTCTGACGAGAGGTTGGGTCTGTAATTTGTCAGTCATAGTCAGTCCATTGTCAGTATTTACATATATTTACAATTTAATTCTAGACTTAATTTCTATTTCTATGTACTATATATACAAGGCCTCTGTCAGTCCAGGCTCAGTACAGCAGATTATGTCCTATTTCTAGATGTATTCGCTACCACGGCAGTCTATTCACTTGAACGGTCATGTGCCTGACCGCCGCCAAGTTTAAGCCTCTTATACTTTCTGTGGCGGGCTTCGCCTTGTCCAATGTTGTGAACATTCTCATTTTCATGATTTTCTATGACTTCTGCTTGTTGCCTGCATAATATTATTATGTGATCATATACGTATGGGNACTCTAATGAATGTTCTGAAGGCCTTGGCTTCGATCATTTCTATGTGTAATCTCCATGTCACTCTCTTATCGAAGATTACATTTAGATATTTTGCACTATTTACAAATGGAATATTTCATCCATTTAGAGTAAGAGAAGACTCAGGCGGTCGAAGACCACGAGAGAAGTAGACCCCCCAGTCTTATCTTCATTAATTTTTGTATTCCAGCGCTCACACCAGGTCTCCATTGAGCTGAGACCACGCTGGAGTTTCTAACAATAAAACCCTCCTTGGGATCTGTCGCATATAGACAGGTGTCATCTGCAAAGAGGGCCAGGTGAACACCATGAGTTTGGGGGGCATCATTTATGTACAAGTTAAAAAGAGTAGGGGAAAGGACAGAACCTTGTGGCACCCCTGCTTGCATTTCCCTTGGCGTTGACATTTCGCCTTCAACCGAGATCCTGAATTTAGGTTGAGAAAGAAAGGACCCAATAAGTTTGGTCAAACTGGTCGAGAATTCCAATTTTGATAACTTATACAGTAAGCCTGAGTGCCACGTGGTATCAAAGGCTTTTTCGATGTCCAAGAACACTGCGGCCGTAGACAATTTATTGTTGAAATTAAGGGTCACGTGGTCCGCCAGCCTCATACAGTGCAATGTCGTGCTGTGACGTGCACGAAAACCAAACTGACATGCGTTGAGCAGGCCTCTTTCTTCAATATGTTTACGGAGGAATTTCAAAATTGCTTTTTCGAATAGTTTTCCTGTCGTGGACAGGAGGCTGATCGGACGTAAATTTTGAGGAAATTTCGGGTCTTTACCCGGTTTAGGTAAAGTTATTATTTTTGCTTCCTTCCAAGTATTTGGAAAATGAGATAGCCGAAAACAATGGTTGAATAAATGAGTTAGGTGAACCAATGGTCGCCTTGGAAGGTGCCTGAGGCATTCATTTGGGATGCCTTCAAATCCACAGGCCTTTTTTAATTTCAGGGACATTATTAATTTCTGAACGTCACATGGTCTGATCCTTTGAGGGAGGTGGTCGTCTACGGTTTCCAACAGAGCTTCAACTCTAGCCTCCACCCGCTGTTCATGGTTTTCATCGCACAGGTCATGTGGAGTGAACTGAATTTTCAAATAGTCGGCAATTTCGTTGGCTTTTTCAGAAGGATAAAATTTAAGGCCAGAAGAACCATGAATAGCAGTTGGTGCCCTTGGTCCGTCTCTCTTAAGGAGAGATTTCGCAATGGGCCATGGCAATGACTTCAGCGTTACCTATTTTAGTTTCCCACCGTTCAAGTGCCTTTTTACGGGTCATTCGCCTGATTGATTTGGTGACCAAATTGACTGCTGTTTTACACGCAGGATCCCTGGTTTCTTGCCACAATTTTCATAGCCTCTGCTTATATTTTATCAAACGATCTAGACCAGATAGGTCGTTGTTTATATCCGAAATTGTAACTTTACTTGTCGACAACCTATAAGCTGAAACAATAGAGACTGCAAAGTCGCGTGCCGCTTTATCGGCTTCTACCCCTGACTTAATTTCTAGTTTAGGTGATATTAATTCAGAAGCGAGGCTTTGAAACCGCTCCAAATCTGTAAATTTCTCAATAGGTTCCGAAAGGTTCCTGATCTTAACGTGATCCAGTATGTGGAATACTATTGGTAGGTGATCTGAATCCAAAATATCAGAGACGATGACATCCGACACTCTGATATTTTTGTGAACCACAATGTCCAGCACGTCACCATTTCCCGCAGGGGAATAATGAGTGGGGCACTGTGGTGCTGAAATTTCGAATTCACTCTTCTATACAAATAAAAACGTAACTGTTGGTTTGTCTCTGATCGAAGATCTCCGAAAGTTCTTCACCGATTGCTTCGAAATTTTGACACAACGTTGCATTCGAATACGCGCGTGTTTTTATATACCTATTACATAGATGTCACACCTGTGACAGGTAAAAACATGCTTCTTTTGAAAAACGGAATTGGAATTTGGAATTCAGAAAACTCACCCCTATGGAAAGCTAGAACAGACCGTTACATAGGAAGTAACAATAGCTATACTGTATCAAATCTACATGGTTACGACGAATACACGGAGCGTTCCCACAGAGACAACGCAATAACAATGGGTCGTTGCGTAGGAATCGCGGAATCAGCAAAGCAGCATTTCCTCGGTTATAACAAGGGCTCATTTGCATAGCAGCGGCCGCTGAAGAAGGTTGGAACCTAGACGCCAAGAGATACAGAAGTATTGGCCGAGAGATTGTGTAACCAGTAACTGCAAGTGGCGATAATTGTAAAGTGTGCAAGTGAATTACAATAAAGATTCGCTATAATTAATACGGCGTAAAATTATTTGTAGCGTGACATACCCAAACAGGCTACATGCATTACTGATGCGTGCAACACGTCACATCCACATTGAGCTGTGTCGTTTACCGTAGCGTTCATTTCGTGAGTATAGTTTATGTTTTTCTTCTTTCATTGTGTTTCGTTTCGTTTTCTTAACTGTTTTCCTTATTTTTCAGTGCAATTGGCGGTGGAATTGAGCTGTGTCGATTGATCTGCGTTTGAATTGAAATATTTCGTTAGTATTTTTTTTCTTCTTTGTTTTCCAGGTCGTGTTCTTTCCTTTTTTAATGTTTTGCAATTTTATATGTTTTTGTTATAACTTTCTTTCTTCCTCCTCAGTGCAATCGATCTGCTTTAGTTCATCCAAATAATGCCTCGCAGAAGATCAAACTTAAGTCGTTGTACTCGCGGAGCGGAAGCAGTGCGACGAGTAATTGCAAATCAAACTGGGGAAGAACGAGCAGACTGAGCCACAGCAACGCGTGGCCGGGTACAGCTAGTATCAAATAAAGCCATTAGTTTCTAGCCTGAGGGGTTTGAAACTCTGCTATTCCAAAATGGGTGCTTAGCATTCAAATCACCCGCCAAAATAGACTTACCTCTAAAGCTTAGGAGCTCAGTGATGTCAGCATCATTCCGGGCTCTGCCTGGAGATTTATAAACACCTGCAAGCAGCACTTCGCTATTTCCAATTGGTATGCAGACTCCTGTAGCTTCTACTGAAACAAGGGGTGTTAGGTCTACATGGTTATGGGGAATGCCTTTTCTTACTGCAACAGCAGTTCCGCCTTTTCTGCCCGAGTGGCAGTCGATTCTATAAAAGTGGTAATTTGGAATAAAGAACCTCTCATGAGGTTTCAGATGTGTCTCTGAAAACAGGGCCACATCTACGTGTAGGTCTTGCAGCTGTTTACTGAGCTCATAGCGCTGCCTCCCAATGCCATTCGCATTAAATGCTATGACTTTGAGGGGCCTATGAACTCTAGTGGCCATTTTGTTTCATAAGGTTTAGAACAATTTTCGTAATGGCCATTATTTTGTCCTCCTCGGACACTGCACCACTGACCTCTGTCATAATCTGCTGTACTACAGTCACTACTCTCAACATATTGTCGAGAGATGGACTGTTCACATGAGTAGCCTTAGTTGACTGAGCGCTAACATTAAACTGACCCTCCACAAAGCTCTTATTAGGTCTGTAATGACTTATGCTAGTCCCGCCTGGGAGTTTGCGGCAGACACCCATCTAATTAAATTGCAGCGCCTGCAAAACGAAGGTTCTCCGCACCATTGGAAATTTTCCAAGGCGCACACTGGTCCACGATTTGCACATGGCATTCAAAATCCCATACGTATATGATCACATAATAATATTATGCAGGCAACAAGCAGAAGTCATAGAAAATCATGAAAATGAGAATGTTCACAACATTGGACAAGGCGAAGCCCGCCACAGAAAGTATAAGAGGCTTAAACTTGGCGGCGGTCAGGCACATGACCGTTCAAGTGAATAGACTGCCGTGGTAGCGAATACATCTAGAAATAGGACATAATCTGCTGTACTGAGCCTGGACTGACAGAGGCCTTGTATATATAGTACATAGAAATAGAAATTAAGTCTAGAATTAAATTGTAAATATATGTAAATACTGACAATGGACTGACTATGACTGACAAATTACAGACCCAACCTCTCGTCAGAGAGGGCGCCCCCAATAGACAGGACAGCAACTTTCACAAAGAAGAAAACATCTGGTCATGAGCCCCAGCTGGGGCTCGACACCAAGACAGACAGACTGACTGACCATAGTTGCAACATGACTTTGACTTTGACGCAATGGTCAGTGATCACATTCAGTTCAGAGCGATCAGTCATCAGAGTCGTCAGCCCTTCACTGCAACCAGGCAACTAACACAGCTGCCGCAACTCCTGCAACCACACCGTAGGCAACTGTTTCTACCGGTGCATGCAAAACTACATCACAGGCCAGACAGGCCAGCTGAACGGCCATAAGACTTGGCCTACTACGAAGGAGCAAATTCTGCCAGCGCACTCACGGTGGAACAAACTGCCCTTTTGAGGGCCAGCCAACTTTCGAACATTCCACATAGCTTCACAGGTATTCTGTTCCTTCAATTTATACAATTATATATATACAATTGTTACAGTTCTACATGGCTGTCATTTAGAACATCGACAATCCCACAGCATTATGTTCATTCAAAAATGTTAGTACAGACTTAATGAACCAGATTGTGTGACAACCCAGGAGACTGCAAAGTCAGTATCAAATTTCATGAAAAATCTGATAAGTAGGTCTTGGGTTTTATATGGGGCCAGATAGACATGGTAAACTAGTAGGCATACTTATGCACATTTTGCTTTGAATGAACTAGAAAAGTTCCTGGTACTCATTTTATCAGAAATGGTGGGGCTGCTGGACTCTTGTTAACATGATGACACATTTTTCCTTGTCCATACCAGGAATCAGATCCCCAGTCATCATAATTAATCACTTTACAGCGACTGAACTGTCACAGACTATGAAGAAAGCAGTCTTCTGGGATTTGGCACCGTGTATATGTGGTGTTAACCGACGTTTCGGAGGAACGTATCGCCCCCATCTTCAGGGTAGAAGAAAAAGTTAAGAATTCTGCAAGCGACAACACCGTGAGAAACGGTNTCCACCACATATACACGGTGCCAAATCCCAGAAGACTGCTTTCTTCATAGTCACCGCCGTGAAAGCCTCAAATGTCACAGACTACTTTGTATTCATACACGACAACAAATATCTTAATTTGAATGTTTCTTTCTATAGGTCTTTGATCAGGAAGTACTGGATATTTGAGTAATATTTGTGTATGAAATATTTTCTCCCCCATGTGGAGGAAGATTGGAATACCTCCACCATAGCCTTGTGAGTCATAGAAGGTGATGAAAAGGGAAGTCAGTACCTGGGGGTATAACTGTGCCACCCTGTCACTAGGGGACATAAATACATGGACCTGGTCTTCCAAGTTGGCAGGTAGGATGCAAGGCTGATGACGTTGCTCTGTAAAAAATTATTGTTGCAAAATCCAGAGGAGTGAAAACTGGATTGTCTAATTCAGACGTGTCTGGCAGTATTTTCTAAGGAAAGCTGTGGCTCAAAAAGGGCTGTTTTGCCAATTGTGACAATGATGATGATGATGATGATGAAATATTTTTTTCCTTTATCTGCCAGATCGGTGAGGAATGTCTGGCATGTCGTGAGCAAGTTGCTCTTTTTGACATGTCACACTTTGGAAAACTGTACATGTGTGGACCTGAAGCCCAGAAGGCAGCAGACTGGCTGTTCACTGCCAATACACGTGATCCAATTGGCAAGACAGTGTACACCTGTCTGCTGAATTCTAAAGCTGGAGTTGAGGCAGACGTCACTGTCAGCGCTATAGAAACTGGAACTGGAGGACTTGCAGATCCCATCTTCAAGGTTGGTTTACCTGCCAGAAAGTTGGACACTTTAATTTATATTTCTATCCTCAAAAGTTTTGTATTGATGTTCTCTGTAGAAGTACTTGCTCTTTGTCCAGGATAAAGTTGCTTTCTTTGTCAGTATTACAGTGTATTGAACCTCTAAATAAGGAATGACATTCAGATTTAAAAATTGAAGTTTGCTTAGGTACCTAATAAAAGGAAGATTGGGAATGAGAATTTGAATCACATTCAAACCTCTACTCAATAACTGCACATTACTTTAACAGTTATGGCTGCCCTACATTTAGACATTTAGTATAATCGAGCAAGTTAGCTCAGATGATAATGCTTCCAACATGTATGTAGGAAGTTCTCAGTTTCAGTCCCAGCTGGAAGTCAATTATCATGACTAAAGTTCTTCATGGGTTTCCTCAGTCTCTCCAGGGAAATGCTGGATTAGCGCCTTTCCATGACAACTTCTTCCATATCATTTCCAATTTATTATTCACACTTGTCCTTTGGTGCTATGCGGTCATGAGTTACTGAGAGTGTCGTTAAATAAGTCACAAAACCAGAATCAAGATGAGTGAAGAGTACAGAGCTATGCACATGTTTGTGACAGGGGTATGCACAGATAGGCAGCATGAGGCCTTGATGGTCCCCCATCTCCTGCTAAGCAAGCTGACATGTGGAAGAAGCAGTAACATATAACCACTGCTTTAAAATCTGCAATCATTGAACTGAAGAATCATAAGAAGAGACATGTTCTGTTCATATGATTTATTCTCTCAGGGTCGAGGTTTCTACATTGTTACCAATGGACTGTCCTCATACCATTCTTGGGCACACATTCACAATATACTGAGTGAAAAGAATTTCACAGTTGGCCTCACAGATCTGTCAGAGAAGATTGGAGTACTCTCTGTTCAAGGACCATACAGGTTTGTTGTTTGTTCCACTGAATTACTTTAGGAGCCTAATGTATTGGGTTGAAGTATAAATTCCTTGGTTTATGTGAATCCAACATGCAGAACATAACCAGGTTATGCACAAACACACACACACAGTGACCATGAGACAAGTTTTATTTGGAACTGACGTCACATGAAGCCTGTTTCATGTTTACAGTTGTCAGTCATGAAAGGCACATTGGAATCCCGCGGTGAGGTAAATTTAAGAAATACCTACAACATTTATGAAATTCTTCCTAATGTCTAAAATAAATGCTATACGTATTTTTCTGGTAGGACACAACAGTATGGCATTCTGACATTTCTTTTATGAGGAATTTTCGCTCCAGAACATATTTAGCTAGTTGAACAGGAGATATACATATAAATATCTGTAGGTTTTCATGTAGTGTCCGCTATAATGTTTCTAGTTTTATAGGTACTCTTTAGTAGTGTGAATGCAGCAAAAAATGAACATGGTCACATAATGACCATACAAAAACAGTCAGGCAGAAATGGTTGACCACCAAATAAAAGGATTTTATATATTCAAGAGAAGTTTGTACTGGTACACACTGAAGACAGCAACTGAAAGTACTTAGGACAAGTCCTGCAACTGCATATTTTAAGAATTGGAGGATTCTAAACCAGAGGACCTGAAACATGAATATTACTCCTATAAAAATGTTTGTTATTGTAAACTACATTGATAAGAAGCATATCAGGTTTTATATTAGAAATTAATAAAATTAAATGTAAGGTTGTTATTGTAAAAAGAGAGGTAAATTCGTCCCTGTGCTTAATTAGTTAAGCTATGCCAACTCTCTTGCCCTTGGCACTAGATGGAGGTGGCCAGCTGTCAGCTTCACACTTCTGCTGCTTTAGCCCCAGGGGAAAGAACCCCAACTACCCATTGGATAGGAGGCTAGTTATTCCAGCTCCAGGTTGTTCTTGTACTTAATTAAATACCACGACATGAAGACATGGGGGAGTGGAGGTATGGTGTTTCTTAACCTCACTGCTTGGTGGAGATGAGTGGTCAGCTTCATGCCCTAGAAAGGGCCCTTGTTAAACAGTGGGTAGGACCCAGAACCAGTCTGGACTATGGTGAGAATCAGAACCTGACTCCTTGTGCGTCCAGCCCGTAGCCAATCACTGCACCACTTACCGACATGGCTCATCTGTTAGAGATTAGTGAAGTCTGAAATTGATTACATATCATGGATATGTAATATCCATGTAATATCCATGTAATATGATATCATATCATATATGGATTACACAGAAAATGAATGTCGTATGCTGTTTTCATTTCCTTTTAGCCGTGATGTGCTTCAGCCATTGATGAATGTAGGTTTAAATGATGAAGAATTTCCATATTCTACAACTCAGCTGGTTAAAGTGGCAGGACACTTGTGCCGGGCAGTGCGAATCAGTTCTGTTGGAGAACTTGGATGGGAGCTTCATATCCCGTGGGACTCATGTGTTCCAGTCTATAAAGCTATCTGGGAGCATGGAAAGAAATACGGTCTAAAGCATGCGGGATACAGGGCTTTGCATTCTCTCAACAATGAGAAAGGTAAGCTAAATTCATACTTCCCCTCATGATGAAAGTAATCTTATTAAGCTTTTTGGATGTGCCCATAATTCCAGCAGTCACTGGCCTTTCGTTGTGGAGGCCTTAGTTTAATCCCAGGAGTCACTGTGGAATTTATGGTGAATGAAGTGACACTGAGTCAGTTTTTTCCAAGGCCATTCAACATTCTCCTGATAATTATCATTCCACCTGTGTTCCATACTCATCTATTGTCAGGGATGCATTGAGCCCCCTTGTCGCCTAAGTACCAAGGGGCTCATCCCACCCCACTGACAAAATAATAAAAGACAGTAACAACAAAATATTTCTAGATACTCTTGGGGTAGTCTGTTTTTTTTAGGTTATGTTACAGATCTGTTTCAATTGCATATGTTATACAGCATCAGATAAGGTGAAGAGATGAACATGAATTGAGAATGGATAAGGATTTAGAAAGAGATGGTTGAGGCTTGGACACACTGAAGAACTCCAAGAAAATATTCAGTCAGAGAAGTGTCAAACTGTGACTCGAACTGGGTTCTCTCAGATACAAATGAAACCAGGTGTTGAAAGAGAATAAGAGTAAGGGTTGGCATGGGGCATGCACGCTTAGACATTTAAGTAAATTATGCACAATAGTAAGATGCTTATAATAAACAACATCTAATTAAATTGTCTTTGTTCTTGTTTCATGGCATTCTTACCTATCTATCTTTTGTTGGAATTGAGATTGTTACAGTGATAACTATGAAAAAGTACTTTTTTCTATGCTGTGTAGTGCAATAGAAGTTCACTGATGTTTTCAAGGAATGTGTTGCCATCATCTTCAAAGTTGATATTCTAAGGAATCATTGATAAAGAATCCAGCAAAAAGTCCACTGCTTGCTTAGAATATCTTAAACTCTGATGATGGAAACAGTATTTTCCTCAAACTTGTAACTGAACATCTACTGTACTACATGGTGTGACATCACAGAAGATAGTGCTCTTTGTTACCTGTCATTTATTATGAATAAAATAAAATAAAGTTGTTCCTCTGCTTAACTAACTAATCATGATGCCATGAGGATGTATGAGGGAGTGGATGTATGGATCCATGTCTTGTTGACCTTGCCACTAGATGGAGGTGAGTGGTCAGCTTCATGCCCTGTCCCCTTTACCCCCAGGGAAATTGTCCCCAGTACTCATTTGATAGGAAGCTGTGTGGGCCCCAGAGCCTGTCTGGATGATTGGAAAAGAGAAAAGTCTAGACCCTACCGGGACTCCAACCCCTTGGTTGTCCAGCCTGTAGTCAGTATGAAATAAGTGCATAATTAGACTCCCAAATCCATATGCTAGTGACAGACCACAGAAATACATGCATAATATTTGTTTTTAATTATTTATTATTTTTTAGCTATTCAATTTAATATAGGTAATAACATAAATATCAATAATATAGGTGTATATATTTATTTGATCAAAATTTGAATTAAAGATTGTGATATAAAACCTATTAATATAAAATATGGATCCATATTAACACGTTAAAATACTCAAAGGCTTATCACTTTTGTTTCATGTATGTCTGAAGATGATCTAAAGAAAAGTCGAAACATGTAGCATTAACATCTGTGCAAATAAACAAATGTTGCTACTGTAATATCTATGTAAGATCTGAGGTTTTCACGGCAGTGACTATGAAGAATGCTGTCTTCTGTGATGTGGCAGCCACCTGCTCATGCTGGTTCTTTACTCACGGATTTTCTACCCTGAAGATGGAAGCGATACGTTCCTCTGAAATGTCGGTTCACACAAGATCTCCATGGCACCACATCCCAGAAGATTGCGTTCTTCTGTAATATCTAGTTCATTTTGGTGTCAATAATTTGATGCGACTGTCCAGTTTGTATATTTTGTAGTATGAAATAAAATTATATGGAGTACAGGCACAGGTATGGGGGCAACCATTAGCATTTCACAAAAAGATCAGTCAGATGGATGTTTTGGTATTTACATTGCAAGAATGGTGGCTGTTTTCACTAACGTGAATATGTTTGCACCTTCCCTTCCAACCCTCCCAAGGTTTGGCATGAAGCTTGGAAAGGAGTGCTAGGATGATGATGGACTAGGAGAATCAGTAGCAGGAACAGAGGAACAGTGGGACCGTCTAGGTACTAGCATACTGTAGAGCATGCATTTTCATATACATCCATTACAGGCTTGAAAACTTTGATCCTGTCTTGGGGTGAAAATTGTGATAGGCTGCATCATTTGTAACAAAAACAGAGTTTGCTAGGAAGAGTCTTTTTGTTGTAAGATTTGAGGTTTTCATGGCGGTGACTATGAAGAAAGCAGTCTTTTTGTTGTTGTGATAACCACAAAATTTGGAATAAGCCCATTGCATTTCCAGCATGGAAAGCCCTTAAATAAAGGTGAATGAAAACCTGACTGTGTGAGAGAAGCAAGTATCCATGTCTAGTAATTTTAAATTATTGTTTGTCCCTGTTGCCTGTAATTCTTAATATTCAGAAATAACATAACCACAATTTGGGTATAAGTAATCATTCTGTCAGCATTTTTTCACCATGTGTAGAATTTTTAAAATGAAACCAGTTGGGAACTCAACTGCTATACTTACAGTATTGTCATCTGTAGGGGTGTATGCACAACGAAAATGATTGGTTCTAGTTTGGATGATTTAATTTATTGGCACTTCAGTTACAATCTTTCTTGATCACATTTAAATACAATGCTATTGCTGATTTACACACACTAGTCCTCTCCTGGTAACACAATTAAAACACAGGAACTAGCGCTTCAAATCTCTCCAAATATTAGACATGAGTAAAGTATTTTAATCACACTTTAAGTCTTTGCAAGTCGACGAAATTTCCATGGCTGTATCCTGCTGAGAACTCAGAACTCAGGAGTCTGGTACTCACTCACTGTCAGTGTCACTGTCACTTCTAGTTCCAATTCACTCTGTAACCTACGGCTCGCAGCTCTCATTATATAGCCACAGCGCGGACCACATAGGAAATGCAGTTCTATTGTTAATGATGCAGATCACACAGAAAACATGTCATGTGATATCCATCAGTCCATTGGTGCGCTGAATGTTGCCTAGCAACAGGCTATATATACATTCCTTCACTGAGATACAGTCTTTCTTTTGTTGCATAATGTACCGTGTTTACAGAGCTGCTGCCTGGCAACGCATTGATCAAATCCATTACAGTATTATCTACTACTGTCGCAGATATATTGCTGCATGTCTTCTGAAAGCCAGAACAGTTTAGCCAGAAGAGACATCCATTGCTAAGTTATGGCACAGTAAACAGTGATGTAACAATGTAACATGAAATGCAACATCACTGTAGTAACAATTATGCATACAACAGTAGAGGAATTATGGGGAGCAGTGTTCTCTGTGGGGCCATGCAGAGACTATATCTGGAGAATATAAACACAGTTGAATCCAGAGAGAAGTCTAGAGAGTCTACAGGCATACAGACCAGTCCGAATGTGAGGCTGCTGTGAGACAGTCTCTCCTGGTGGAAGTATGGGAGATGGAGAAGCCCTCATTGTTGTAAGTCGCTGCATAGCAATGCTGAGTTGTGAGACAGTTGCCAGCCCATAAGGACACAAACATGGAAGCTGAGGGATCTGCGATGTTGGAAGCTGTTACCCAGTGATGACTGGTAAAGACACAGCGGACAGAAGGCATAGTGCACGTTGTAGTGAATTGTAGAGTGTGTGAAATAGCATCAGTGCTGTAGTTACCTGTAGTTAGGGTCTGTAAGTGTTCAGTAAATCCAGTTACCAATCCAAACCCCATCTAAAGTCACTCAATCACATGAGACTGTTTCAAAGCTACAGTTTTTTATGCCAATTATGGAAACAATGTTTAAAATTATGAAACATGGCCATTAAATCAATAAAAGCAAAGATGGAAGATGATAATTTACCAGACAGTTCATCATACAATTTCTTCTCCTTCTTTAGCCTTGCTGGCCTGTTTTGAATCAGAATTAACTTCCAAAACTATAATTTTCTTGGAAATTTAATAGGACTCCTCAGTCAGGGGATTGGACAAACACAAGACCTCTGTGTATACAGAACAATGAAAAAACAGAAAAATTGAACCCATGATCCCAGTGTTCAAGCAGTCAAAGAGAGAATGCTTTGTCTGTGTGGGCATTGTGAACAATGTGCAATTGATACAAAGTGCAAATGCTAAGTAATATCTTTATCATAATGTTCAACATGTTTCATTACATGTCTGACATGTTCTTGTGGTGCCTTTTTTCTTTACTCAATTAATAATGCTGATAACAGGTTACCACTTATGGAATGCTGACTTGCGGACTGATGACAATCCATTAGAAGCAGGAATGGATTTCATTTGCCGAGATGAGGGTGATTATGTCGGTAAGGATGCTCTGGATCTGATCAAGCAAAAGGGATTGAAGAAAAAACTGGCATTCTTCCAACTTCGAGAGTAAGTGCAGTAGTAACCATGACACACGTCACTAATTTACACATGACTTTTACTTTTTCATATACAGAGTATTAGAGATCATTGTAACTGAAAAAAATTCATCATGACATTTTAATGGATGTGCATGTTTTGAGCACCCCTTAATATGAAAAATTAATTTTTGAAAATTTGTATGTTTATATAGATGTGTTTTGCTAGCAAAGTCAAGAGTCAAAATTATGTTATGATTGATGGTCAGTGAGCCAGTGTTTCTTGGTGTTAACCATCCATCTGGGGCCATGACCATATTTTTGTTACTGTCTGACATTTGTGGGTTTATTGATGTGTGGCACCCTCCCTGAAGAGAGGATGGGTCTGTCATTTACAGTAGTTGCTGCTGGCACTTGCCATTGCAGTTATTCTTGGGTCTGAGTCCCTCTGGACTCTTGGACATATTTTACTGTCTCAGATTTGAGACTGCCCCAACCTGGAGGGCTATGTCCCCCACTTACATAACTCTCAGGGTTTTTGTAATATATGAGGATTGTTTAGATGAAACCTGTTTGCACATTTGGCCCACTCACAAAAGTGCAAAAGGGCTGTACACTCTTTGCAGAGGGGATCCATTGGCTTGTGGGTCCATCAGTGGGTATCCATGTCTCACTGCCCATGGGGACTATTTTTAACATCTACTCCTTTCCCCATTACAATCCTTGAACTCGTTTCATTTGAACAAACCTCATAGAATAGAATTTGACTCCCAGCAAAAGGTTCATGATGTGACACAATAATAAAAATTCTATAAGAATAATTTTTACTTTACTGAGTCTTTCTTTTTAATAATCTCTGTATTATGTAAACATGAGTTTCTGTTCTTGTCCTTAGGCTTTTGCTGCTGGAGTGTAATACATGACTTTGGCTTTCATCACCTGTTTTCATGACATCTCTCTTTGCTTACCACACGGTTGCTCCCTATTGGTTAACACCCAGCTTCTCTCTTTCACAATTGAAAATAAGAGGTTCCAGGCAGAAGTCATAAATCCTACTTCAATTTTCAGACAAATTCGAATATGGGGTCTGGAAGCCATTTGGAGAGATGACCAAGTAGTAGGGTACCTTCGGCGAGGAGAGTATGGCTATGGCTTGGGTGCTAGTATAGGACAAGGGTAAGTAGGATTTGCTGTTGCTTTTATAGTTGAGCAGTTTGGGCCTCTCGAATCTGACACACTTGGGAATGGACTGGAGCCAAACCAGTGTGTCTTCAAAACCATGGGTGGTTAATATTGCAGCATGTAGAACCATTATGATGCAATGACCGCAAGATAAGGAATTATACCAGAGCCATTGCCTAGAAATGGCTCCCCTGGCAATGGATATGCGTGCAACAAAAGACGTACTATTAGAAACTGAAGCAAGAATATTTCAATTGGAAGGGAGCTGCCATTCAAAGAGGACTTGAGCCTGGAAGCAGAGGAATAGCCATTATTATGAGCCCTAACCAGGAAACGGCTATTGGAGACTGTAACAGACTGAAAACGCCTGTCCATATGCACCAGTGATTTGTAAAGTGTGGAAATTAGTGATGGCGCTGTAATTAAGTGTAATTACAAGTTGTGTTGTATAGTGGTCAATAAGCCTAATATCCAATCCAAAACCCTGTTGAGTCTCTAACACATGATAATATATTAAGATAGTTAGTTAGTTATTGGAGAGGGTGGGTTTCCCCATGCACTGAGACCTGTATTGGTCCACTGTGCTTCCCTCTATGATTTCTACCAGTCTCTATATCCTACCGGTACTGGTGCTTACCATCAGTCCCGCCCAGCCAGCGAGACCGGCTCTACTAGCTGGGAGGTATCTATAATGCTTCCCCCATCTACCAGAGGTATTAGAGACTGCTGTTGGGCGGGGAACGTCCGTTAATTTGGCTCAGTGACCTCCTTTGGAGATATGAGGTTCTTTTACATGCCGTAAAGCTATGACACGGGACCCACGGCTTAAAGTCCCTCCCGGAGGACTTGTTCCCTGAATTTTTCCGCCCTTAAAATTTCGACGACCTCCGCCGGGTATTTGAACCCGCGTACTACGAGTCATGAGGTGGGAACGTTACCTCTAGACTACGAAGGCTGCAATATATTACGATACCAAAATGCTTAAGTCATTGTATGCAATTTTAAGATATCTGTACAAGAAAATAAGTACAGGAAACACAGAAGATGATGTGCTGGACTGTGGAATGCCATATATGAGAGTCTGGGCATGTACTATAATATTAATGCATTATACTAGTGTTCCGCAACCTTTTTCTACTTGCGGCACACCATGACGTATCCATGACTCAACACGGCACACCAAAATGTTATTCCCCTCAAAAGCGCTTGATATCAGACAATTAATATAAATACGTAAGGCGATCAACTTGTTACTATAATATTATTATATTGTTATTTTATTATCACAGAAATCAACTCCTGCGTTTATTAACAATTAATGTACTTTAATTCACCGTAGAGTGTGGAAAATGCACTTTATTGCTATTAAAGTAAATGTACAGTAATTCTACTCATACCTTCAATATGACACTTGCGCCTGTGTAGCTGCACACAGGCGACTGATCCGTGGTGGAATCGTTGACAACGAAAGTCTCATTTCTTCATAGATGGATTTAAGCCGCTCCATCTTTGATGTCTTAATTTCAGTTAATGTCGAGAAGCCCAGTTCACACAAATATGTAGTTGAAAATGGCAGTAACACATTAACTGCCATCTCGGAGATAGCCGGGTATTCACTCCTTATTGCCAACCAAAACGTATCCAAAGGCACTTCGAGAAGTTTTAGTTTCAATGTTCTGTCTGCTTTTAAATCTACGAGTTCCTCTTGTATATTAATTGGAAGATGGTCTGAATTCACAACGAATGGATCACGAACCCAGTCGAAATCTTGTACACTCTCTCCGAAATACTTATTGAATTTCTGCTGCAGCATTTCTAAATGTTCTCTAATTGTGTCCATCACCACTTTATTGCCGTCAGCAAGTGACCATACAGTCGGGAACATCTCAAACGACCCATCTGAAATTCTCTGTATCCACAAATTCAGCTTATTTACAAATCCTTGTATCTTATCCATATTAGAATATTTTCGTTCCTACCTTGCATCTTTCTGTTCAGCTCGTTCAAGTGTACGAAAATATCAGAAAGATACGCCAACTTACATATCCATTCATCATCTACAAATAAATCCGCGTACTCATGCCCCTCAACAGTCAAAAATGCACGTACCTCCTCATTAAGTTCAAATATTCGAGTCAACACTTTTCCTCGTGATAACCACCGTACTTCTGTATGTAGTAGGAGTGTAGTGTGTTCTGATTCCATTTCCTGACACAAAACGGAAAAAAGCCCCGAATTTAGGGGCCGCGATTTGATGAGGTTCACGACTTATACTACTTCGTCCAGCACAACTTTCAGAGAAGATTGCAAAGACTTAGCAACAATGGCTTTGCGGCGAATGAGACAATGATCGCATCGTATGTTAGGATTTACTTTGCGTGCTTTAGCAACAAATCCTTTAACACGGCCTGTCATAGAAGCGGCTCCGTCTGTACAAACACTAACGCAATCCTTCCATTTTAATTCATTACGTAACACATATTCATTAGTGACACGAAATACTTCTTCACCGGTGGCTCGCTCGGGAAGTTCTTTGCAAAAAAAGAAAGTTGTTGCAATTACATCTCCATCCATGTATCGAATGTAAGCAAGAAGTTGTGCGTGACCGCTAATATCGGTGGACTCATCGATCTGATGCGAGAACTTCTGACTGCTGTTGATTTTCTCCTTCATAATGGCTTCAGTGTCACTGGACATTTCAATAACTCGGCGACTGATTGTGTCAGCAGAGAGAGGAATTTTTTAAATTTCACTGGCAGCGTCTGAACCCAGGACTATTTTCACCATCTCTTTACAAGCAGGCATTAACAACGTTTCAGCTATTGTGTGTGGTTTTTTGGCCTTTGCGATAATTTCGGCTACCTTATAACTTGCTTCCTGTACTTTTTATGACACGCGTACTGTCGCAGTCATCAACGTATTTGTTTTTTGTTTTGTTCCAACAAGCGACGAAAATAATTGAGACCTTTGCTTGATAGAGAAGAATGTTTTGTTGACAAATGTCGTTTCAATTTAGTGGGAACCATAGCAGTATTGCTGAGTTTTTCACCACAAACGATACACTCGGGGATTGGGCACGTTTTATCACCACACAAAAAAAAACCGTAAGATAAGTAATTATCACTATACTGCCGGTGTACTAATTTTTGTTTCTTTTTTTCGGGCTCAGTGCTTTCACTACTTGCACTCGTGGACGAAACACTCCGTATAATGAATTTATC